ATAGGGCTCCTCATAGATTGTATCATAGGTGGAATATTTGCCACAGTTGTCACGCTTGGCAAGCGGGTTGGCAACCACAGTTTTTTTGAAGTGAAACTTATGACGAAAAGTGGTGGGTGTAAATACTACGCACGTACTGGGCATTCGGTCGATCATTTAAGTCGCAAACGCAGGGCATTACATACCATAAAGTATATAGTAGTACCATGGTATAAACCTAAAAAAAAATTGCCGCCCATCTGCTGATTTGTTTCCCTATGTCTCCTTTTACGACACCCACGGGATGATAATCGGGTAGTGAATAAAATTACGTTCATTCTATCCTTATTTATTTCTATAATTTTGTTACCCGCTTTTTTTTTTCAAATTGAGACGTAGGATCAGAGTCTGATTTCAAAGTCTATAATTAAAGTGTATTCTTAAGAAGTAAACACAATTTATATACATTTGTAGAAAATTATTTTAGTTAGTTTATTTATTAACAATTGTTTAAGTTGGCGATTTTCCTTCATCCTTAACTAGGATTAGAACTAGCAGAAAAGTTTTAAATTCGAATTCTCAATTCAATTTCAAAATTCAACTCTATTAACCGCAGGTTTACCTGATTTGCACTAGCCGCTGATTCGGCTCCGGTGGAAGAAGTGGTCGGAATTGTCTTTTTTATCGAAGTGAAACCATATTTCACTAGCCTTACGCGACATTTTGAAAGTCTATATTCGAAAATGATTAAAAGTCTAAACTCAACTTAAACTATACTATGCTATATTATATTTACACTTTACACATAATTGCCCGAATTACAACTACCTAATGCACAAAATACACACAAATATTGCAAATAAATGCACAAACGCAACGTCAAAAATTAATAACGTTATTAGGTATCTTAGCGAATGGTACGAGCACGAGCCACCAAGACCAAGTGCGTAATTGTTGCGTTCTAGAAAAAAGCAAATTCTAAACTTTCCATCCAAAATATAAAAAACATAAACATAAAGTTGCCTAAAGCAAATATAATATGATCATACAAATGCAAGTCTTGTGTCTATTGTCCTAAAAATCATTTAAATTTGACAACTCTCACAACTACACAAACTTAAAAATTAGGCAATTTTAACCATTTGAAATTCGACCTTTTTGCTTTAGGTAATTATATCCACATGTGCATTGCGTACCGTGTGAAACTAAAATTACTAAAACAGAAATCCTCTCTTTCTATACGAATTTATGATACCGTCGCAAGAACAAGAAACAAGGAAGGACATCACATCGGTTTAGTTCGTGGGCCGTGTTGGCATATCGTTCCGGTGTTTGCGTTTTACGTTTTACAAATCTAAGCCTTGTGCCTATGAGCTAAAGATCATTTAAAATTTGATAACTCTCACAGCTATACAAACTTAAAATTTAGGCAATTTTAACTATTTAAAATTCGACCTTATTGTATTTATATATTATATTTCGCAATGTGCACCGTTATGTGATAACTACCAAAACATCGCAACGATATCCATATTCGCTTCATCTCTTTCTATACTTGTTTAAACTATCGTTTCAAGAACGAGAAGCGATGAATATCAACGAAGGTCATCAGTTAGTGGGCCGTTTTCAGTTTTGGGATATCGTTCCACAGTTTGCGTTATGCGTCTCGGTTTCGTTTTCGTACGTTGGTTAGGTATATGGTTTCGGTTGGATATGTGATAACGGTTTTGTACTTAGGTTTATCGATATAATATGATATTTGATAACATAACGTTAACAGAAATGGAGTTCACGCGTGAACATTTCCGTGCCATAATTTATCACAATTTTCGTCGCGTATTATCTCAAGATAAATGTCTCAGCGAACTTGTTTCGATTTATGATGTTGAAGCAACAAGTCGAACGAGAACATACCGCTGGTATGCTGAGTTCTGACGCGGTCGTGTGTCGCTCAGCACTGTTTCTTCTGCAGGTCGACCAAGAACAGTGATCACGCCTGAAAACATCGCAGCTGTGCGAATTATTATATTAGATGACCGTCATTTGACATACAAGCAGATTTGGGCTATTATCAGTATCGGAATGACTGCAATTCAGTCGATATTACATAATGAGCTGTGTGTAAGAAAGCTATTTTCCCGCTGAGTTTCCCACAATTTGTCCGAAGAGCAAAAGGCGGCTCCTGTAGATTGGTGCCGGTATACTCTGCAACGATTCAACGGAAGGAAGTCAAATTCCGTTTATAATATTGTCTCAGGTGACGAATCATGGATTCATTCATACGAACCCGAAAGAAAACATCACTCAGCAGTTTGGGTCTTCGAAGACGAGGTCAAACCAACGAAAGTGGTTTGTTCCCGCAGCGTGTCAAAGAAAATGGCCACTATGTTTGCCTCGAAAAAGGGGCATGTTGCTACAATGCCTTTACAGGAACGCAAAACGGTTACTGCTGAGTGATATGTCATGGTTTGTTTGCTAGAAATGATAGCCGAACTACGAAAAAATAACCCGAAACGTCGCATCATCTTACATCACGATAATGCGAGCTCCCATACGGCTCGGAAGTCAAATGATTTTTGAAGTAGGAAAACGTTGAGCTGATGATCCATGTCCCCATCCCTCCCATGAGCCCAAACGATTTCTTTACATTCCCTAGAATGAAAGATTTATTACGCGGTCAACGGTTTGAAGACCCCGAAGCAGCTGTGAAAGCGTACAAATCAGCCGTTTTGTCAACATCAACTTCAGACTGGAATTACTGTTTTAATGATTGGATTGCACGAATGGAAAAGTGCATTAAGTTGAACGGAAAATACTTCGAAAAACAATAAAATACAATTTAGCTACACCGTGCATATGGTTTTTCTTATTTCCGATCATTTCAGTGTGCCCCTCGTAAGGGCAAACTAAAATATTGTTTAATAAATCAGTTCAGGATACGTATCAAGGCGTTTTATTTACCCGTTACGTTATCATTAGCTTTGCTAGTAGTACACCCTAGAAGACACAAGTTTGCGCGTTTACCGCTAAAAAACCTCCTTCGTGTCTCCTCAGTTTCAAGGTACTCCCCTTGTTGCCTCAGCCAGTATTGGAAATTTGGAATCCTCGGCGTCGACGTATCGAGTGACGTGCAGTTTCGTGGTCACTTGGAAGAGAAGGCCAAATTGGCCTCTAGAAAGCTTGAGATAAAAAGTGGGACAGTATTTCATGCCGGCACACCGCCTGCAACTTTACAATGCGCAGGTTTGACCGCACATGGAATACTGTTCCCATCTCTGGTCCGGGGCTCCCCAGTGCTAGCATTTGATCGCATCCAGCGCAGAGCTGTTCGTATCATCGGCGACCGAGCTCTTTCCGATCGGCTTGACTCACTGGCACTGCTAAGAGATGTTGCATCTCTTTACCTATTTTATCGCATCTTCTACGGGGAGTGCTCTAAGGAATTTTTCGGACTAATTCCAGCCGCATAATTTCACCATCGCACATCGGGACATAACTCGCGACACCATCCAAATCATCTGGTTGACTGGCGGTCCACCACCGTGCGATTTAAAAGAAGTTTTCTTCCTCGCATATCTTCCTTGTGGAATCGACTACCACTAGAGATTTTCCGGACCGATACGACTTAGGGACCTTCAAGAAAAGAGCCTACTCCTGTTTAAAAGGCCGGCAACGCATATGCAATTCCCCTGGTGTTGCTCATGGGCGGCGGTATTCACTTACCATCAGGTAAGCTCGTTTGCCCCCTCTCTTATTAAAAAAAACTTAAAACAATTTACATTCCATAACCGATTGCATGTATTAGACATGACTCTATGTTAGTAATAATATCTTTACTTTTCTCAGAAATCAGCGTTTTATAAATTTGACATTTATTTCAAGAAACATTGAATGATTTAATGAGGTTTACCTTGCGTCGCGTCGCCAACATTACTTATTCTGAACCTTCTCTGGCTGATTATTGCAAAATAACCCTGTATATAGGCAATTTATATCAGTAAAACACTTCCATGATACAGAAGAAGAAGAAAATTACTTATGTAGTGATGACATGCTTTAAAGTTATCAAGTTTTTAAATAGGTATTAGTAGTGTTCATTAGTTATTGAGACTACTTGTAGTTGTAGGAAGCACTATCTAATATTTAGGTGATTATTACTGCAACAGAAGATTTCATGTCAATATTGGTGATGGGAAATAATTCTGACTTACAATGTATTAAGGTGATACCTCGAAAATTTGGTGGTTTTTCTATTTCACATATTTTTTTGAATTTTGTAGATTACAAACCAAAATTTTGGTATATGATTTTTGATTATATGATCTTGGATTGCATAAAAGGAAAACAAGATATCATGAAATTTTCTCGATAGAAAAAAATTGCAAAGTAGGCTCTAATTGGTTACATTACTCCATGACACCACCGTATTTTTAAGAATAAGTTCTTGGAATTATTTTTATGGCATAGTAAATAATCATATCTAAGTTCTCATAAACCATTTTTTTAATCCATAACGTAGTTTTGTTAAAAAAATGTTGTTTAGCGCTTACTTAGTTTTTTCCGAGCGTGTGCTCGGAATAGCTATCTCATAATTTGCGTATTATGAAGTCATTGTATCACTTTTATTTTGACACTATCTCAGTCGTATGTGAGCTCCACCGACAAAGGAATAAGCCACGCCCCCCAAAACTACGATTAATTTTCAAGGTATCCTCTTAAGCCCTCTGCTCGAACTACACGAAAGAGGCGAAACGGGCGACACTGGAAACAGTGGCTGTGGTTTGCTATGCCAAATGCTGAGTGCGACCCCTTTTACTTACGTTCAGCTACATCTATACTTTATTGTTATTAATAATAACCTAAGAAAACAATTATGTACAATATGGCGTTGTGCTTATGTAGCGAAATAAATATTTTCTTTTTTTCCTTCTTAATTTAAAAAGAATTTATCTCCGATGTTCACTTTCAAAACGTTGATTTTAAAAAAAGCATCACATGCAGTGAAATTGTTGTATTTCCAGATATCTTCATAGACACAACGGGCTTTGCATTCACATATCCTATCTTCCGTTACCTGGCTCAGTGTCCGGTGGCCTGCTATGTACATTATCCAACCATCACCTCCGCAATGATGCGACGCGTGAAGCATCGCATCACATCATACAACAACTCCAGCCTCGTGGCTAGAAACCCGCTGTTCACGTGGCTAAAGCTTATTTACTATAAGATATTTGGCTGGGTAAGTGCAATAGTTACTACTCTTTTATTGCCTAAGAGTCTAAAAAAGTACGAGGTAACATCTATAAAGGCTAACCCTTAAGTATTTCGGGTCTAAATAAATGTGTAAACTCCATGTAACCTCACTCGATTGAACGACAAACTCCCTAAATGTTTAACTTGTTTTCCATACAATGATACACTCTATATAGCATTACACCCAATCTCAATAACGACAACAATTAAATAATAAAAGTACTTTTTAAGTTGCAAAAATTAGTAAAAACTGCACAGCTGTGTGCGTTCTTTTATCTGAGGCATGGTACGCGTGGGGAAAAGAAAAGATACGTCTTCACCGTACGTCGGTCGTTTATTGAGTCCCAAATACAATCATTTCTTATAAAATCTAACTTATGCTAAATGCGCTTGCGCAGCAGAGTCACACGGGACTCGCGCATGAAATATAAAACTTCTAGGTAATGCACTACATCTCCCCCCGAAAAGTAAGGGGTACCTCACTACCCTCTTTAGGAAAAAAAATGATTAGTGTACATATAACTTAAGACTAATAACATAATGAATGTATAGGTACTTATCTGAAAAGCAAACATTATTTTTTTTTTTTTGATTACAAAGATAAACATTACAATTGAAATGGCTTTGTGTTATTTTTTATGTAAAATAATTTCTTTGTTATTTTTTAGAAATTTTACATTAGGTGGTAATTCTTCCAAAACTTTATAAGGTCCTTCATACAAACAATCTAATTTGTTACCTGTTTGGTTTTTTATTAAGATTAAATCTCCTGGCTTATATTGTACTTTATTACATTTTTGATCATACTTAATTTTTCTTAAATTTTTACTTATTAACAAATTTTCCTTAGCATCCAACTGTGCTTTTGTAAACGGTACTTTAACTCCTTAGGGTAATCATCGAAATTATACAGTGGGTCAACATGTGTTGATAAATTACTAGGAATATTACAAATTTTGCCGAAAACTAGTTCGTATGGAGTATATTTTGTTTTTGAATGAACGCTTGTATTGTAACAAAAACACCAAAAAGGAACCCATTCGCTCCAATATGACTTGTTATTATTGCACTGAATTCTGAGGTAAGCGCCTAAATGTTTATGTGTATTTTCAATGCCTCCTAAGGTTTCATGATGATAAGGCGTTGAATGGATTTTTTCTATATGTAGCAATTTGAAAACTTCGGACATAAATGATGAGGTAAATTCGGTCCCCATGTCACTTAAAATTTTTCTTGGAATTCCATAACGCAAAATAAAATTATTAACGAAAGACCTAGCAACACTTTCACTATCCTTTCTAGGTAAAGGATAAGCCTCTACAAATTTGCTTAAATCACACTGGATTGTTAAAATATACTTATTATTATAGTTATCTATATCTAAAGGACTCATAATATCTAAATTAACCTGTTCAAACGCTGAGTTAGCAGTTGAAGTGATTGTCAGAGGATCTCTAATATTTCTGTTAGTATGCTTTTGAACTTGACAACTTTTACATTTGCGGACATAGTTCATGACGTCATTGCTCATACCTGGCCAGAAATAATATTTTTTAATATTATTTAACATTCGATTCATGCCTGCATGACCACTTGTTGGTAACAGGTGAAAGTCGTTAAGTACCGTGGTAATTTCTTCTTTATTATTTATTCGCTTAATGTCTTTAATAATCAAAAATCGTGGTGACGCTATTTTATACATTTTTATGCTGCGCAGCAAACTCTTAATATTTTTCTCATTACTCTTGTTTTTAATTATGAGTAATTCTTTTATATTTAATTTTATGCACATTTTTTCTAGATCTCTCGCTAACTCTTCTAGAGACGATAACGATCGAGAATATAGGAATATGGTCGATAACGACGGGTTATACGTGCAAAGTTTAGCGTCGGACAAAATATTACATGCATTATTCAAATGTTTTTCGTTACTATTTCCTGGAAAACGCAACCCTATTATGTCATTGGGTCGTTTTAACAACTCTACAGTAGTAGGTTGATCAGGCCTACTAACTGGAGGCTGTTTGTCTATCTGTCCGGTGTCCGTTTGGGGCTCTAACTTTTTCCTTTGAGCTCTAGTTAAAACGGATACTACTTTTTCCTGCATTTCTTTCAAATCGCGTGACGTCACCGGGAGTCGGCTTAACGCATCTGCAGCTGCGTTATTTCGCCCTGGGACGTATTCTACTTCGAAGTCGTATTCTTCAAGGTATAGTCGGAATTTTGTTAAACGACTAGACGGGTCTTTTAAACCGAATAAGTAAACAAGGGGTCTATGGTCCGAAAAGATTTTAAATTTTCTGCCGTACAAGTAAGGCCTAAAGTGACGGACTGCCCACACGATAGCTAATAATTCTAATTCTATTATTGGATATCTAGTTTCTGCCGGGTGCAAACTCCTACTAGCGTAAGCGACAACCTTTCCATTACTATTTGAGAGTACGGCGCCTAAGCCTAACTTAGATGCGTCTGTCTGCAACTGAAATGTGTTATTTTCCGAAAAGTCGGGATAGTCCAACACTGGAGGGTTCGTTAAAGCATATTTTAATGTAATAAACGAACTTTCGCAATCTTTAGTCCACTCAAATCTAATACCTTTTTTAGTTAATGCATTCAATGGGAACACAATATCAGCAAAACGTGGAATAAACCGACGATAATAGTTGGCGAACGCGACGAGTCGTTTTACTTCGTCAGTAGAAGTCGGGCGTGGGTAATTACGTATGGTGTCAATTTTACTGGGATCTGGGAATATTCCGTCTTGAGTAATTTTATGACCTAGACTATTTCTTTTCTTAAAAATTCGCACTTAATTGGGTTTAGTTTGAGATTAACTTTTCTTAATCGATTCAATACGCTAATGAGATTTTTGTTATGAATATCGATACTAGAACCGATTACGACGCAATCATCTAGGTATAAAAAACATTTTTCGTAATTTAGGGCTGCCATGGCTATAGTCATCAGCCGAGAAAAAGACACTAGCACTTGTCTTGAGACCCATTGGGCACCGCTTCATTTGATACTGTTTTCCTGCCGTAAAAGTAGTGTACTTTCGTGACTCATTATCTAAAGAAATCTGATACATTTTATTTAATGTAAAAGAAGTATATTTACGGGAACTTGGATTTAAGGACAATTGATAATAAGATTGGGAGAGGTCTAATTTTGAAAAATAAATACTGCCTGACAATGAATCAAGTATCTCCGTTATATTGGGAAGCGGAAATTTGTCATCTTGAATTCGATCGTTTAATTTCCTGTAATCTATGACCAATCTCCATTTTCTTTCGTTATTTTTATCGACCTTTTTGGGTACTAAAAGTACTGGGCTAGACCATTCCGAAACGGTTTCCTCAATGATGTCGTTTTTTAACATTTCCTGAACTTGTTTTTCTATCTCACCTTTTAACGCCTGAGGAACCCTATAAGGCTTAGAATAAACTGGGGTCACGTTATCTTTTAAAACTATGCTATGTTCCATTAAGTTCGTAACTGATAACGAATCACCTGGTAAATGGAAAACATCTGCGTATTTGCTCAGACGAAATAAAAACTCAAGACAGAGCGCTGTCAACAAAGAAGTGAGGTCGGTTTGGTAAACATGTGTGCACTAAGCGAGTGTTGCCGTGCAGTAAGAATTTATTACCCTAATATATTATTGTCTAAGTACTATCAGGATGAATTGATAAGTAAAAAGTTGGCAATTTTTTCAATTGTATACCTCACTTTAAGAAGTAGTATGTAAGTATAATGGATAGAATCAGGCGTTACTTTGCAGAAATCCATTATATTAAATAATTTATTATGTATGTAAGTATGTTTATTTCGACTAAGAAGGGGAAAAATATATTATTACAATAGTAATATAAAGAAACATGTTTTTATTTTAATAACCTTTTTGTTGAGTCAATTTTTTGAAATATTGCCGTTTACTGTCCACCGTGTTGGAAATTGTTTCCAATTTAGAAATATGGTGGAAACGAATTGATAAATATTTTTCAATTATGCATCTTATTAAACTTATTTTATGCTCTTGACCAGCATAATTGTACTCAGTCTCCAATTTAGAGAAAACGTTGTCAGTATCAATAAATCGTTTTGAAATATTAATAACAACCGATTTGTGTTGGTTTTCAGTAACTATCACTACGCTTTCATTACATAATTTACGTACAACAGTTTCAAAAATTACGCAAATTTCAAAAAGCTCTTTCGATGGAAAGATTAAGCCACCTTTATCTTTTAAAGATATCAGTTTATGGAAGTCCAATATCTTATCCGACTGTAAGCGAGCTAGCCACGTTTGACACTTTATGACCCTTGACAAGTAATGCGCTTTACTTCCTGATATATATCCGATAATGTATTTATTTCGGATGGGGAACCTTAAAAATATAGATGTTTGAAGTGGTGATAAAACATGAAAAAACAAAAAAAAAATAATGCGTATTTACACTACAATAATTTTATAAATATTATAAGTAAAATAGAAATACATTAAAATACATAAGAATTACATTAAGTTTCGCGTCACATTAATAAATTACCGAATAAATGGGGACTACTGTGACGCTCACTAGTGGCAACACTTGTCGACGTTTTATGTTCCAAGCTGTCAGAATAAATAATAAAAATGATTAATTAAAAATTTGGATTTTTATGTATACTTACGTATGAAATGTGATTCCATCCTGTTTTTATTTCTGGAAGATTGGTTTTTACACTCTTTCACACACAATTCGGCATTTTTTCTTTATAAACTGCCAATTATTATAACGTGAAACTCTGTGCGCTGGAATAGCTCGAATGAGAAGCTAAGGCGTAGTTTCGTTATATTTGTGTGCGTGAAACTGTGTATGTACAAGGCGAGGCGTAGTTTTACCTGCCTCAGTGCGTTGTTCGACGGGGCCCTGTCTTGAGTTTTTATTTAGTCTGAGCGTATTTGGCACAGATTTGTTCAATACTGAGCCTTTCTTCCCTATTTAAATAACTCAAATCAAGTAAATCGAATAAAGTTTTTATTCGCTCAACAGTTTTTTCTTCGCTTTCGAGGTGGCATACCTCGAAGTTACTAATGGAATGGACATTGACGTTTGAAAAATCTATCTCAATATCCTCATTTCTCGTATTCAACACTCTAATAGGAATACTTTTATTTAATGGTTTAGCTAACATTCCTGCGATAAAAATCCCTTCCTCAATTTTTTGAGCTAAAATAACGCTATCTTCGCTTAAAGTGCAAGGAATATGTTTGATAACTTCGCAACGGGCGGGTATGACGTGTCTATACCTATCACTCCATCTACCCATATTAAGACAAACTACGGAACCCTGATTCGATAACTGTAAGGTTCGTGTTTCGTAGTTGATTATCGCATTATAACGCTTAAAAAAATTATCGCCCAATATACCGTTAGCAAAACAAGAGAGATTCTTAAAAACGTAAAATTTCTCTCTAAAAGTTATGCCATTACAAACTAAATCTAAGTAAATATAACCGTCTGAAATTAATTTACCACTAACGCCCTTAATTGTTATTTTATCATAATGTAACTCATTCAAATACTCCTGGTTATCGAGGAGCCACTCATATTTCATAACACAAATGCTCGCGCCCTTATCTGCTAAAAGACTTACCTTGCCATTATTACTTACATTTAAATCTACTACATTGTTTATGCTATAATTACAAACGAAATGATCACTAATTGTAGGGGCGAAAAAACTCACTATTCGGTGCAGATTGAGTGCGTTCCACGCTCTCAATGTGCTCCGATTGTATCTGAGAAACGCGGGCGTTTACATTTGGGCGAGATGGGTTGTACCGACCTCGGCCTCGCGAAGTACCCCGTTGGTACCTACCACGATTGAGCCCTCGAGAGTTACCCCTGTAAAATATCCTGGAATTCGATCCGCTTTGCGCTCTCTGATGGTTATAATTAGTATTTGAGCGAGCGTTATTAGGACCTCTTTTATTTCTATTAAACTGATTGTCACGACTGCGGTAAATGTTGAACACATGCTCGTTACGAGCTGATGATGTGCTCTCGTCCAGCGCGGTTTGAATCGCTTCTGGAAGAGACTGGAATTGTCGGGAGGCTATGATAATGCTCAAACGCGAGTCTGATAATCCGTCTGCGAAACGCTTAATCGCAATTTTCTCGTTCAAAGGACGAAGTGTTTCGTATTTTTTGTCATCACCGTCAGCCTGTGCTATAGTCAAGTTGACGAACAACTGTTCTAACTCAGAGCCGAACTTATCAATAGATCTACGGCCTTGGCTTGCGCTATTAAGCTGCGATTGCAATGCTACCGCGGATTTCTTCTGAATTAAGTGAGTGCGCATATCTAAAACCAAACTACTCACGGACTCGTAGCTAGATTTTAACCTCAGCTTGGCGCTAGGGGTCAGTCTAGTTTTCAAAACGAAATCAATTAATTGTTTTTTGCCATTTTCGTTAAGCATATCACTATACATCACAATACTATCTATCAGTTGAGTAGTAATATTTTCGTGGCCTGTCATTATTGGCAATAGGGCTATTGCCGTTTTTAAATCAAAGGCGCCCATGCTGGCTGAGTTATTGGAACTTTCTGATTCACGAGACATTAAATTCAAAATATTACTGTACAAGATATGTATGTCGTCTATGCATCTATTAATAACCTGAAAATCATCGCTACTTATCTCAGAATTCTCTATTTTTAGTTTGATTTTAGACGAAATATACTCCAAACGACTGTACAGATTTTTCGCTTCACTAACTTTTTCTTTTGCTGTATCGGAACTCTCTCTACGTTTTGGTCCGATTTTCACTAGATAATCTCTAATTTCTTTTAAACTACTGTACACATTATTTAGTTCAGCTAGTGACATTGAAAAAATCGACAAATATAATTTCTAACAGTAAAGGAAAAGGAAACTATTATTTACACACTATGTAAAAACACTTAAAAATTATTATTTCACTTACTTGTTAAAATATCACGTACATACTAATTACAAGGGCGGGGCGATGGTGTTTGTGGATGTAACCATTTTTAGGGCGGCGCGAGCAAGCGGGAACAGCACTGCAAACAGGATGTGTGGCTGCATGAGGTCATCTTCTTGAAGCGGGCCGGGTATTACCCTGGACACCTCTTGATGTTGGGCCGGGTATTACCCTGGACACCTCTTGAGATCTTCTAGTTAGTTGTAGGGCGGGCGATGTTTTCAAGCGAGATTGCGTTGAGTTCTCGCCTCAGAGTTTTCACGGCACTCTTCCTGCATTTTTTTCATCAGGTAATAGATAACTGCTGCAGCCAGTATAACCACGGATACAATCCTGAGGGTTTGTATGATGTGGTTTGTGTGAGCGTCTTCTAGGCTTGTATTTGCGGATGCTGCACCATTTGCGTTTTGTGCTATGGCTACTTCTTTCGACTGCGATTTTCCCATTTCGTACCTTTATTTCTCTTTGGATTTCTGGCGTTTCTTCTTGGTTTTTTTTTGTTTTCTTCAAAATAGGGCGCTTCTTTTTTCTTTCTTCAGAATTTGTGCTTCTTTCTTCTATATGGTTTTCTTCATTCTTCTGTAAGGTTTTCTTCTTTCTTCTATAAGGTTTTCTTCTTTCTTCCGAATTTGGTTTTTTTTTTTTTGCACTGGTTTTTCACTTAGTGGGTAATTTCTTTGTTAGCATCCTGGCAGGGTCGCCATGAGGCATGGTACGCGTGGGGAAAAGAAAAGATACGTCTTCACCGTACGTCGGTCGTTTATTGAGTCCCAAATACAATCATTTCTTATAAAATCTAACTTATGCTAAACGCGCTTGCGCAGCAGAGTCACACGGGACTCGCGCATGAAATATAAAACTTCTAGGTAATGCACTACATATCGCTTTATTATCCTAGCCCGTAATAAACAAGACTATCAGCATCATACTTACCAAACTCTAAGAAATCCGTTGTTTTGTTTACAAATTGGGATTGCTTGCACATGTAGACTGTTAGTAGGAGTCATGACTTATCTATACGTTATCATATTCTTTAGTTAGTCACAGATTTTCAAAATGTAAACATGACAAGTAAGAGAAAATCTTTGTGTATAGATGAAAAAGTGTTTCTAATACAGATTTTTCGTGGTACATTTAACGCCAACTCTCTATAACGTCAACATTTGCACAGTCCCCTGAGTATCGTTATATAGAGTTTACACTGTATTTAAAATGATATCAATTACCCTTATGTTTATTAATATTACTAACTAACTAACTAACTAGACCACCATACCATACCCATAATTATTATAATAATAGTAATACAACTAAGCCTATAAATCGAACTCATCTACCATTTACACAAACCACGTACAATAATGCCAACACACCGCAAAAATTACGAAATTATGTAGTTATTGTAAAAATATTGGGCATAATATTACAGAATGCCGTAAAAGAACTTATAATAATAATAATATAAGACATAATCAAGCCCAGCGCGCACTTCCTGCGCCTCCTATCCCAGTTAATGATTTAAACTACCAAGCGACCAACGAGATGAGCAACTCGCTGGAAATCGCTTCAGTATCCTGCTCACCGATTCCGACTCAAGACATCGAGAACCTGCAAATATGAACTCTAGCAAATCCAACCCTATTTCTCAAAGGCGTCCGCGACCACCGAACCATCGAGATCACACAACGCAAACAAACAGCGTACCTTGTAAATCACCGCCTAAATGTCAGACAATGTTGAAAAATGTGTCTACATAAACTAGCGCCTTAAGTACTACACATCACTCAATGTTCAAAAAATCTAGTTCTCAAACGGAAACCTACGAACAGGGTAGCCAGCCCCAAACCCTTGGTTTTCCAAAACATGCTATTCTAATTATATTAAAGTTGTTACAAATTAATTAACTAAAATAAAATGATGCGTCTTACCTAGTTTATAGAGCACCTGAGCACCTCTCGCTCTTCCTCAAATCACACGACTCCCTCTGTCACTAAAGCATAATTAAAAAAAATACATCCATAAATATGTTGGCATCCCTTAAGATTAAAATAAAATGTCTTACATGAACACTCTTCAAACAATACTCAATAATAAACAATACACTTCAAACTGTAAAACAGCCGAGCATGAATTGAACACACACCAACACATTGAATTTTAAAATCATATATTGCTCTTTACTCAAATCTTGATGAAAGAATGGCATTTTATTTAGCGGTGGTAGTAGTTAAGATGGCGTTACATAATAACAAGTAGTAATGGAGTCCTAGAAAAAAATCCTGCCACCGACTAATTGATTAAGTAAAATACAATAACCATTATTTTCCCATTACAGTCTATAAAGTCCACTACTAAAATAGGTCTCCCCTAAAGACTGCCTCATTTTGCCATAGTTGCCACGCTTGGCCGGCGGGTTGGCAACCACAGTTTTATTATTTTGAGTTTGTATCAGACATATGCAGCCGCCTATGTTTTAGTTTCTCTCTGTCGCCTCTTACGTCACCTATGGAACAATATGGGCAGTGGATATTTAGACAGCCATTACACATATAAATTACATCAGTACTTTATCATTGTTTGCATCAACTGTATATGTAGCGGCACGAAAGTCTAGCGATGACTGTTACTGCGCATAAGTCGAAAATAAGGTAGCACGGTGTAGTAAGCGGGTCGCGGGGCGGGCGGGCGTATCGTTCGCATGCATTGATTGGCTCTTCAGTTGCATTCCATCCCCCGTACTGATACAACATGCGCAGCTATCCCCTCCACGTTTCGTTCAGCGCTAGACTTACGTGCCGCGACTTGTAATGCATCATATGCTTCTAGTTGTATGGGGTGGTGGGACGGTGCGCTGATGTGGTGATGGTGAACGGTAGCTGGACGGAGGAGCACATCAGCGAAGTGTGGCACTTGCAATACTCCACGCATCGCGTCTACCCTCCCTGCGAGGTGAGTGACTGTTCAGTGTCCGACGTATTTTTATAAACTTGTGGTCGCCTACTGGTAAACATTCCTTAAATTTTTAAGTTAGGAAAAGAGGTTTTATATGTGATATTGTCACGCTGCAGCTATGGCTGTGGCACGAATGGGTCGGCTCGACCGGAGAATGACCACTCTCTCGTAGAATATCAATGTGAAACTGTAGAATAATGCTTTGTTTTATATGGGGTGTGTAGAGAACCGAAAGCCCTTTTTATGAGTAACGAGGCTTTCCGTCTTAGTCCTCAGGGGTGACAACACATTTGCATTTTGATTCTTAATCGCGGATAGATGTCTAGTCTAGTGTCGACTCTTGACCGGGGAATGACCACGCTTTCACATAATATCAGCTTAATGCTGCTGTGTTTCGTATGGTGAGTGTAGAAAACCATAGACCCTTTTTACTGCAAGTGAGGCATTCCATCTTAGCCCTCAGGGGTGACAACTGTATATTAAACAAGCTGTATTTCATTTTCACCTGCACGCTAATATATGGCTGCATGCTATCACCAACGCTGTTTCTTCGGCATATCATAGAATACTATAATACATAATAGAATGTCTGTCAACTTTACTTTATACGAGGATTGGCCTCGGATTCGCTGTGTTGACAGACTGAGTAAATTTACACAATTTAGACTTTTGATTAATGTTCAAGATCATCATTAAATTTGAATACATATTTATTTGTAAATAGGGTGCAATTTAGCATTTTCTAAATAATTTGCATGCGAAATTTGGAAACGATTGTAACGTGAAAACACATCTCGTGTTGACGTTTATACGTGTGAATTGACGTATTAGTGACATTTTAGTGGCTACGCGGGCTCCGCCCACTTCCTCGTTCTATTATGTATGTATTATAGTATTCTATAGACATGGCGTTAATAGTTAAATTTATTTATTTGTTAAAAGTTGTTATTTTTTTTAACACATAAAATTAACAGTTAAAATATTACTTACTTTTGTAGTGAATTTTTATTTTTAATCGGTTGTGTTAATTTTATTGCTATTTTATGCATGAAATTTTAATTCAATAAACATTTCTTTATGCTTGGATTCTTTTATTATATTATGATTTATAATAACTTTATATTATTTATAATGATTATTAGGTATTTTGATATTTACTAAATGTAAAAAACATTACAAATTTTTCAAGATGGTCCCACAGCTGTGTGTGATGACGTCTCCGTATGATAAAAGGTGAAAATTAAACTCTAACCAAAATCCTATATTTTTGTACACTACACTAAATAATATAAGTAATAACTAATTTCACTAAATCTGAATTAACTTTCCTAGTATTTATTTTTACAGCTTTTTATACAGCCTAGTAATATTTTGATGAAAAAGTAAACCACAGAATTCAATCACTCCTACCGGAGAAATAAACTCTAAATAAAATGATAATAAACTGATGTGCTTCGTTTAAACAGTTTAAATTAACACCAACCAATATTTTAGCCAATGGCGTAACAACAAAATACATAAAATTAACATCAACCACTAACGTATTCAGCCAATAGCGTTACCCATATGCGTTAAAAATATCGGTTTGAACGGTGTAATAAAAATATCCCTTCAAATGACTTAACGGTATTGATTTGTTATTTAATAATATGATAATTTTCAACCACAGTGAGATATAAGTTTAATTTTATAGCAAATAATTGTTACAATTCTTTTTTAATGAGAAGCCTAAGTTAAGTTTTAACTAAATCAAAAGAATACATGTATTGATGTTTTTGAAGAATATTTCTTTCATTTCTTCAGTATATAAAATTTTAATAACGTCATCTACTACATTCTATAGATGAAGTCATTTTATTGAACGAATTTATTCATACTCAAGGTGGTACGCAAAAATTACGCTAGGTAATAAGGTTAATTTTATTAATTTAATAATTTTGTTATTTTTTTTTGTAACTGTTTATTTTAACAGTTAAAAGATATATTAACCATCTTTAGTATTCTATGCTGCATATCAATGGCTTTTTGCAAACCGGTATCATTCATTGCTATGCGGACGACAGCACTAGTGATACCGTTGCAATATTTCTCGGGAAAACTTCGAAGACTACCGGGACAAACTTGTGTCTGAAGTCGATACTTTCTTGAACAAAGTCTCGGACTGGGGACGACTAAATTTAGTCCATTTCAACTCCAAAAGACACAAGTTTACACCTTTACCGCTAAAAAGAATCCCTTCGTCGTATCTCCCCAGTTTAAAGGCCTTGTTGCCTCATTCATTATCGGAATCCTCAGCGTCGACATATCGAGTGACGTGCAGTTTCGTGGTCACTTGGAACAGAAGACCAAATTGACCTCTAAAAAGTTTGGCGTGCTCAGCAGAGTGGGACAGTATTTCATGCCGGCACACCGCCTGCAACTTTACTATGGACATTGCATGGAAAACAAAACATGGAATACTGTTCCCATCTCTGGGAACAGTATTCCATTCCATGTGGAACACTTTCTAATTCGTTTTGCGTTGTTAATAGTAACATACATGATTGTAAGTAGTTATTTAAAAAAAATGGTCCTGCTGGGTTTCTTACTGATTCTTTCTAGGACAGAGGTTTTTTCCGAACCAGTGGTAAATTTAAAAAAGCGACTTTCGGTAAGAATTACATGTGATCTATATTGAATAAAAAAATATTCTATTCTAATAGACATAAACGTTTTCATCTATTATTTATAATATATATTGAATAAAAAAGTTTCTGTTTCTGTTACATCCCCATACCACAGAAAGCACGTAAAGCTGTTGGTCCAGCGCATGATCTCTCTCCGGTCGTGTCGGTGTACCGTCCAATCGGACCATTAGGGTGAGAGAATAGAGAGTTCGCCTGTGCTTGCGCTTGTACTCCTGCCTACTACAATCCTATTCTGCTCATATCATTGCATATATTCCTATCCTGTCTCCGTTGAGGCTGACTGCCGTGAAAATGTAGTTAATTTAAAAAGGCTAAAATAAAACTCCAATTTCAGGTGACTGAACTGAAGAAATTGCGTTCACTAGTGAAGGAGTCCGATCCAATTCGCATACTGTCGGTGGCTCAATTCCGCCCGGAGAAAGATCACCCGCTGATGCTGCAGGCGATGTACGAGCTCAGGAATTTGCTCGTCAAGAATGAGATGCTGTGGAACAAGGTAAGATTTGCAGAAGATCAAACTTGCCGCTCGCACTCGCTGGTACTCCACACCTACTGGTGTACTAATCGACCACCACTTAATAAACTCACACTCAGGAATTATGTTTCCGATTATTGTCACTAGTTGGCGCTGTTTTTATTTCATACAATCGTAGTTAACTTCAACGATATTGAACGCGTATAAAAACTCGCACTAGGCACGCTGAAAAGCAGTGTTTTTTCATCATGATAACGCCAGACTTCACACATATTTGGCCACTCAGCAAAAATTGAGAGCATGGTTACGAAGTGTTAATGCATCCACCATATAGTCCTGACCTTGCACCTTCAGATTCTCACCTGTTTTGTTCTCCTCGGAATTATTTTGTTAGTGTTAGGTTAACTTCTCATAACTTTTGAACGGCTTGACTGATTTGAATGAATTTGATGGCGTTCGAAAGGGTTTCACCAAACTTAGATTTTCATAATTTTCATTACTTTCATTATTGTTTCAACCGATTTGGACCGATAGGTCTTAAGAAATCACAAAATAAAACTTTAAAAAAATTTTTTTTGGAATAACTTTTACACAGTACAACAGTTGTAATGATCAAAATAACCTTTAAAATAGGTTTTCATGGGAATGTGGAAAATAAAAAAAAATTTCTTTTCGTTTCTTTTTTTTATAATAGATTTTATTATTGTTCTTAAAATACCTCGTTATTGCCACCAATTACACTAGTCTTCAAAATCGGTTGATCCGTTCGAATGTTGTATTCACAAAAAATGTTTCTTTATTTTTAATAACTTCCAAATTTCTGCTCAGTTCGTTTTTGATGTAATGAGTTAATTTTTAGTTCGGAAAAAACAGTTGTTGAGCGTTTTGATATCGAACATAGCGGGAATTTCCAAGGATGGTCTGCAGGGTCCACCGTGTTTCAGATTTTTTTGATCAAAATTTCCAATATTTCTACAGTAACGGGATTATGTTGTGGCGTAACTCGCTTCCCTTGGATGATCTACATAAATCCGCTACGCGCATGAGAATTTAGAAGCCACACTCTTATATCACGCCACTACCAGAGAACAATAGGGCGACGTCGATAAGATAAGGCCCCGGGCCTTCGTCAGAGCGCGAGACTGCGCGACGTTCATTCCGCCTGCAACCGGCATATCAACAGAACGCGCGCGCGCTACTTTCTCAATTAAATTACATTGTACTCGTAGTTAATTTCACCTTGTAAATTTATTTGTAGTAAAAGTTGTTTGTTACATCGAAATAACATTACTTCATTCGAGTCAGTTAATTCTTATTCCTATTCTTTATTAGTGTTCGTTAGTTAGTAATATACTCGTAAGAATACTTAATGTGGGTTTTGTGGTTAGGTGGTTGCGAGTAATATCGAACCACTTTACGGAGTACACATATCGACCACACCCCACATTAATTGGTGAACCCGACGTGATGGATTAAATGTAATTAAACTTTGAAAAAAAAATGTCTTGAATTTGCATATAAAATACGAAGAAACTTTTTCCCCGACCGATTATATTCATCATTAATCATTACAGCCTATCAAAGTCCACTGTTGAACGCAGGCCTCCCCAATCATTGCCTCATTCGAGACACACTTGCTACAGTTACCATACGGATTGATCGCTGCAGCTTTTTATGCTGCCCATCTCGTTGTTTGTTTCCCTATGTCACCTCTTAAAATACTCACGAGTCGATGTAGGGTGGTGGGTATACTTACACCGCACATGCGTAACAAGTAAAATAAATCTGAGATCAAATTAGTCTATATTTTTAAATTGGTAGTGTTAGGTTTTCACTTAGTTAATTTAATAATAATAAAGTTCATTCAAAATATATTTATTTAAGCAATTGACTTCTTATTGGTAAATTTATTTTATTAGAATTGCAACACTTTAGTTAGGGAGGGGATGTGGTCAGTTGCACGAAGCAAAGACTACATTAAATGGGCATTAAGCAGGGGGGGTACACTTCCATACTTTAGGTTGGGGTTCAATAATTTGCAAAGACACTAGTGACATCTTGTACTATATCCGCATAAACTTTCGAACATTAAATTCTAAAAGGTGCGCTAGATGGCGACTACACCAATTCTGGTTATTTTCGAACTGGCAAGTAGCAACTTTATATGACATAACGGCGTAGATGAAAGTAATATATCATAATGGCTACCGACGTCTGAGCAAGTTGTTGTTTTATTATAGTTTATAAGTGATTTTCGGTTGTTGTTACAATAAGTTTGGTTGAGTTGGGATTAGCCCTCTGTTTCTTGTTGTCTGTTTAGATTTTCATGCTGGAACCACATTGTTTGTGTAGTGTTGTGCGAAATAGACGCTTTCATTTATCATTCCGGTAACCCGGTGGACATATTTAATTTGGTTTGGTGTTGTATTTTGCGGAATAGACGCTTTTACATAGTGTATGTTAAATATATATAACAAAAATGAATGTTAATATTACTGACATCTATAATACGTCTTTAATTGAACCCTAAATCCCTTAAAATATATATATAACCGCCTATAGTATAGATAGCTGTATATACATAACTACATACAGCTATCTATAGTCAACATGATATTGCGATTAGTTCAAGGGATATGATACCAGACGGCGACACTATTCATATTGGGTGACAAAAATCCTAGGTTCTCTATTTCTGTATATATTACTCTACTCTATGGCATTAAGTAAGGATGAGGGGAGGAAGACGGTTTTGTCGATTACTAAGCATAGGATAAGACCAAATAAGTGTAAATTATAGTTTAATCCTAAGCCTCAGGGCAGAATAAAAGTGTGAGCAGTAATCGGAGAGTGTTTTATTATATTAGTTTCTAAAAATAGAGCCACAACTTCTTAATAAATTTAGATAATTCTCTGATCATTTGAAAATATTATCCGAAGTAAAATAATGTTGGTTCCTTAAACAAAATTGATTTTTCAGATCAAGCTAGTACTAGTCGGCTCTTGCCGCAACCAGGAGGACGAGGAACGAGTCCAGAACCTGAAGGACCTGGCCAAGCACCTGGCCTTGGAGGACAATGTCCAGTTCGTGGTGAACGCTCCGTACGCAAGACTGCTGCAGCTCTACCAGACCTCTACCATGGCGATACACGCTATGTGGAACGAGCATTTTGGTATCAGTGAGTAACCCAATCAGCTTGCAGTTTTTTTTCACAAATCATATAAACGTAAAGTAAAGTAAAGTAAAAGTAAAATATACTTTATTGTACACCAAGGAACATATTACATTATTTATATATTTAAAGGGACATTGGTACAACAGGCGGCCTTATCGCTAAAACAGCGATCTCTTCCAGGCAACCTTAGGGCAGAGGATACTATTTTAAAAGATAGCGGAAGGGGTGTACAGAATATGATAAAGAAAGATAAATAGAAGAACATAAATGATTAAAGGAAAAAAAATTAATGACGACAGGTAGTAACTTAAGAGGAAAGGTAATAAAGTTTTAATTTATTTTTAAATATAGGAAGAGATTTAGATTTTTTAATATGTAAGGGGAGAGAATTCCATAGTCGTATAGCGGTAACCGTAAAAGAATTAGAATAAAAGGAAGAGGAATGTCTAGGGGTACTTAGAAGGAGGTTATTTTGAGATCGTAAACTACTTAAATATATAAATCGGTCTTTCAAATAAGAAGGAGTGGTCAGGTTGAACAGAATGCAGTAAAGAAGATGAAGAATGTGAGTATTCCTGCGAAGACGAATCGGGAGCCACTTGAGCTTATGGCGGAATTCGGATATGTGGTCATACTTTCGTAACCCAAATATAAACCTTATGCAATAATTTTGAAGCCGCTCAAGTTTATTAAGTTGCTCGTATGTTAGGTCAAGATAACAAGTGTCCGCGTAGTCAAGGATCGGTAAAAGAAGAGACTGAGCCAGCGCAACTTTAGTAGGAATGGGGAGAACATTGCGTAATCTTCGAAGTGAACCAACTGCGGCAAACATTTTTTTACTTATTTCACTAACTTGCGGTCCCCAAGACAAAGTCTGATCGAACATAATACCTAAATTCTTAACTTTGTCACTGTATGGGATAAGTGTCCCATCGAATATGATTGGCGGGAGCAGCGACAAAGTTAACCGAGAGATTAATTTCGAACTCCCAATAATAATGGCTTGAGTCTTCAATGGATTAACTTTAAGCCCAAATGAATTACACCAATGAGAAATACGAATAAGATCTTCATTAATTAATCTAATTGTATTGGGGAGATCCGCAATCTTACATTGAGAGTAGATTTGTAAATCGTCTGCATATAGGTGGTAAAGAGAAGTTATGTGGGAACAGATCGAATTGATGAAGATAGAGAACAATAGAGGAGACAACACGCCACCTTGTGGGACGCCAGCTTTGACAGCAGACCAGTCAGAAAACGTGTCTTGAATTTGTACACGTTGCCGGCGCCCATGCAAGTAACTATGACACCAACCAATTACTTCAGGAGATATGTTAAGAGAACTTAGGACAGCGAGTAAAACATCAAAGTCTACAGTATTGAAGGCATTACTAAAGTCAAGCAATGTCAATACTGTAACCTGCTGACTATCCATGCCCAGGCGAATATCATCAGTGATTCTAACCAAAGCCGTAGTCGTACTATGACCGGGACGGAATCCAGATTGGAATGAATTCAAAAGGTTATGATTGGACAGGAATTTGCTCAGCTGTTGGTATATTAGGCGCTCGAGTACTTTAGAGAGAAAGGAAAGGATGGATATAGGACGGTAATCCTCATATGTCGGATTAGATTTTTTTAGGGAGTGGAGTTACTAGGCCGTCTTTCCAGGATGAAGGAAAAACACTGGTGTCAAGGGAACGGTTTAAAATAAGTGTAAGTATAGGAGCTAAAAGATCGAGTATTGGGATAATCATCTTACGACTAATGCTGTCAGAACCAACTGCGTCGGAAGTAATGGCTAATATATTCTTCTTAACATCACTGACAGTAACTTGGCTAAAGACAAAAGAGGATAAATTGGGAGTTGATATAGCAGAAAGTTGAGCAAGTGTATTTTTCTTCGTAGCACTGTCTATAGTGGCGCTAGAGAGGAAATGAGCATTAAGCTTATTTAAATTCAAATTAAGAGATTCTACATTACGCTTTGCTTTTCCAACCCCTAAAGATTTGAGAAAGTTCCAAACTTTAGTTGAGTTATCTTCCTCAACAACAGATTTATGGATATGGCGTCGTTGACTATCTCTACGTATTTTTCTTCGTAGCACTGTCTATAGTGGCGCTAGAGAGGAAATGAGCATTAAGCTTATTTAAATTCAAATTAAGAGATTCTACATTACGCTTTGCTTTTCCAACCCCTAAAGATTTGAGAAAGTTCCAAACTTTAGTTGAGTTATCTTCCTCAACAACAGATTTATGGATATGGCGTCGTTGACTATCTCTACACACCATATTGCAGCGATTTCGTGCCCTGTTATATTTCTCTCGGTTAGAATCATTAGGATTCATACGATATTTAGATTTCGCTATGTTCTTTTTTTCTTGAAGTTTTTTTATATCGGCAGTGAGCCAGGGGGCAGGAAGATGCTTCATTCGAACTGGACGAATTGGAGCGTGAATGTCATACAGTTGTGTAAGTATGCTGTTAAAAATAGACGTATCGTATTTTTATTTATTTATTTAAAACTAACAAGACACACTAACAAAAGCATAATATTTTTTACATTAAATTATAAATTTTAAGGCCCCAGTCTTGTAAAAATTAGTGTTCTCGCAAAATTTGCAGCAAAACAAATATCTTTTTATACTATTTGAAAAAGAAAAGATGAAACATATTTTATATTTATTTAAAATGTAGGATTTGATATTTTCGAAAATGTTTTTTAATTTTATTTTGGTATTTAAATTAATAGCTCTATTACGCGTTAAACATGCCTATGTTTAGGTTACATGCGTAAAAGTTCTTATTAAAGCCTCTGCTATGTACAAACTATAACAATATCAAGAAAAGTATTCAGATCACATTTATTTACATATTGTCTACAATGATCTGATTTGGTCACTTTTTTTATAAATGCTTTAATTTTCTTATTTGAAGGGCTTAAAAAGTTGTAGTTTCATGATTTTTTTTACTGCAAATATCTAGTTTTTCTATTAGAAGTATAAATGTAGCAAAGTCGTACCTAAAACCACATAAAATAGAACTGTTTTCAAGTGAGTAAGAAATAAATAAAATTGAAAAAGTATATATTTTCGTACTTTTTACCTATATGCCATTTATAAACCAGAAACGCCTGAAAATTCTCTCAGTTCCGCTGGGATTTCTCGGCGTTCAGACGTGTGCAGTGTTGCTCAACGTTACTTTACCTCTGCTCGCAGGTTGATCTCTTTCCCTCGCGCTGCTCTTATGGACTGAGCGGAGCATATCGTGAAAGTTGCTCTACTTAAATATATATTATTTTTATTTAATTGTCATATTAGTTCTAGTTTTTAGTGTTTATATTAGTATTAGATTAATTGACTTGGACTTTGTTTGTTTTATATATTTTAAGTTTTATATATAATTTATTACCAAAAAAAAAATAAACGGAAAACGATGGATAGGAAAAAGGACAAATATCCTTGTGTCAGTAAAAATAGTAGTAAAGTACAAACTGTACAAGGTAAAGGCGAAATTTGTATGAAGAAGCAGTTTTTATTTTCCTTTGGTTGTATATACCCAGAGATTTATGAAATATAAAAGGGTAAAAGATTACACTACCATGACAAAAGTAAAATGAATATTTTTGGAAAAAAAATTAATAAGTTATATATTTAATGAAGTAGAGCACCTTCACCTGTGATCTTGAACGTATATATACACGAGGGAGAGCGCCCCCTCCAGTGGCTGGGAATGTAAAACAGCACAGCTAGACGGAAGCCTTAAAGTGTTGTCAACCAAATCTAGGAAATACCTTTTGACGTTTCACATTAATCATTCCGCAATAACTTTGCACAACCGTACTCACACGATTTAAAATGACCTTTTACGTAAATCCGAAGAATTATGAAGTCATCTATATTTCATTACAACGTGTATAGTTTTTTATCACTTATTTAAATTTGAATTTTCCAAATATAGAAAAATATTAAAAAATATAATAAGATGGCCGGCCATATAGTTCGAAGAACCGATAACCGATGGGGAGAAAGGTTCTCGAGTGGCAGTCTCGTACCAGTAGGCGTAGTGTAGGACGACCCCCCACTAGATGAAGTGATGTCCTGGTAAGACATGCAGGAAGTCGATGGATGGTCAAGTCGAAGGTGGCTCAGGACCGCGCTTAGTGGCATTCCTTGGGGGAGGCCTATGTTCAGCAGTGGACTTGTGAAGGGCTGTAATGATGAATGATTAAAAAATAACCTGTATTAACTTATTTTACTTATCGTCGTTTCAATGACATGTCGCTGTGTATATTACCGTAGTGTTAGGATGATTAAAATTTATTGTTATGCGAATAATCTGAAAAATATTCAAATAATCGGTAAAAATATTCTAATAATCGAATCATTAATTTCTTTAATGTATTATTTGTTTCATTTAATTCTTATTTTCAAAATTCCTTAAATTACATGAATCATGAATAAAACAAGTTTATTTTTTTTACTTTGTCAAAGTAAATTTTTGTAGGAAAAAAACTCATATACACGGCCGTGCTAAAACATCCACGGAATCAGCAATTAATTTTTGAGGCGATGTATACGCTTTTATAACAAAATGCCAGAAAATATACAAAATTTAACGTAAGTACACAAAGTTCGACAACTTTATTCAACTAAGTTTGTATAAAAAGGGTTATTTTAATATTGAGGAATCCATGGATGATAATAACCCCTGGGAAGGGTAATCGCTACCAAGCTATTTCTAATTTGTTTTGTGTTGTTAATTGTAACACGCATGATTGTAAGTTTTTTTTTAAACTAGTCCCGTTGTGTTTCTTGCTGGTTTTTCTCAGGACAGAGGTTTTTTTTTGCGAACCAGTGGTAAATGAAAAAAGTGACTTTCAATAAGTATTATTCATAATCTATATTGAATAAAAAAGTTTCTATTTCTGTTTCGAGAGCTTACTGTGCGTAATTTTGTAATTTTGTGTTTTTTTATTTTTATTTTGTGACTCGGCTTTTACTTTTTGGACTGTTTATTCTATAATAACTTTGTACGTGGTAGAGCCACGCTACATCTATATTATAGTTGTAGCACGAATGGGTCCGCTCAACCAGGGTAGGACCACGCTCTCACAGAATATCAGCGTAAAATAGCAGCGTAATGCTGATGTGTTTCATATGGTGAGTGTAGAGAACCAGAGACCCTTTTTACTGGAATCGAGGCATTCCATCTTAGTCCTCAGGGGTGACAACACATTTGCATTTTGATTCTTAATTGAGGATAAATGTGTATGTCTAGGCGCCAGAGGTGGACTGTGTGCTCGTTTGATTGTTTGTCACCCAAACTTATAAAAACATTCGTTAAAGCATGTGCCCATGTCACAAAGGATAATTGGGCAAAAATGGTAGAAAAAAACAAAAAATGATTATGGATGACTTTGAAAGAGACATTAATTTTGACTACATTATTGAAAATCAAATAATAATTAATATAAACAACGACATCTCTACTAGTTGTACTGAAAGTGAGTGAATAAATTTATTTTTAAACTAGTTTCAATCTTAAATTTTTATAACTGTGCCTCTAGAAATAAGCAGTAACAACAAATACGAAGAAACTGATAAATCTTGTGTTATAAATTATCCGTTTTTAATTTATTCTGGTATTACGAGTATTCAAACCACACTGTAAATGATTACCTACTCTAAATAATCGATTATTTTTCGATTTTTTTAAGAATTGAATATTGTACGTTCCCATTTTTTGGTTGGCATGCTTGGTGCAATAAGTCTGAAAGCTGTCAAAATGTATTTTTTAGATTTGGTTGACTGTAATTACAGGTGTTACACACATTTCTTAAAAGACAGACACAAGTATACGTATGTAGTGATTTAAATTGAATACAATTAGTAGTAGTCATAAGTAATTATACAAATTATACGTGGTACACGCTGCAGCTATATTATGGTGTAACACAAAAAGGAGCCGTGGTAGCTCAGATGGTTAGCGCTCAAACCGGGTTCGATCCCCGCCGGCACCAATGAAATTGTTAATTGCAATTTTAAGTGCTGATTTACCACGAGCTTGGCGGTACAGGCAAACATCGTGAGGAAACCTGCATGTCTGAGAAATAAGGAAAATAATATTTCGAGAATATGTGAAGTTCGCCAACACGCATTGGGGCAGCGCGGCGGACATTTCCTTGCCCTAAAACCCTCTCACAAATGAGGGGAGGTCTGTGCCCAGCAGTGGGACGTATATAGGCTGAAACTTTAACTTTAAGTAAGAAGTATGATAATTTAATCGCCAATTAATCTCGGCATTCCAACTTACGAGAGATCAGGCGTCCACTTTTTGATTGTTACAGGGAACATTAAACTGATCATACGGCTAACCGAAGTTTAAATTAATTCCAGCCTCACATGATAAAAGCAGCTGGCTACCCTGCGGACAAACACCGCACGACCACAGCTGACGGATATACTCTGTAATTTTACAGGATCCCAGGAGGAAGACGCGAAAAAGGGAATTTCAAAACGAGTACAAAAGCAAAAGAAGCTGTGCTGGTTATGCATGGTATATTCGGTTGTATCACCGGAGGCTTGTGCCCAACAGTGAGACGTATATAGGCTGTAACTTTACTTTACTTTACAAACTGGTCGTCTTAACCGGGGAAGGAGCATGATCTCTAGAATAGCAACATAGCATTATCTTTGTTTCGTATGGTGAGTGTAAAGAACGGGAAACCCTGTTTCCTGGAAACGAGGCATCAATCTTAGTCCTCAGGGGTGAAAAAAAATGCCCCCCCCCCCCCCGAACGGGTTCCCGCCTTGTCGTGGCGGGGGGGCTTAGTAGCCGTGGCTTGGTCTCCCACGGTGAACAAAGAGGAACCCACGTGGCTGGCCCGAGGTGAAGGGCCGGCTTGAGGTGGCCACTCCGAGTGGGCTTGGGGGCCCACTTCGGATGTGTGCTGATGGACTGCAGCGAGGGGGGACCCCGTACCCTCTACCGCTGCAGCCGAGGTGGAGTCGCGGAGGAAGAGGAGTGTTGGTATGGCGATGCGCCACTCGCCCTATCCTCCGCGACTAAAACGGGGCCGCACCGTTGATGCGGTGGTGATGGGGCTGCGGGGGGAGAGGATTGTCGGTATTGCGAGGCGCCGCTCTCCCTATCCTCCGCAGCTGAATCTTGGTTGGCGGCGGAGCCATAGACTAGATCCGCCGCTGGGGTCGGGAAGGCTAGTACTTCTAAGTGCTCGTTTTTCCTGGCCCCATGGCCTTCGCGCATTGGACGCGGGGGCGTCTGTTGCGCAGATGCAATTGGAGGCCGTGGAGGAAGGCGTGCCATGTGTTCTGGTGCGCCTTACTTGGGAAGGAGAACGGGGAGGAATATTCCTCTCCCGAGGAGGTGCTGCCATGGGGCGGCAGTCGCTGGTAGGGCCGCGGAAGTGTGCGGAAGTGTGCGAAAGCGTTCCCGTAGCCCTGCCAATATGCGACGAAGGTGGAACACCATGGGGTTTTAGTCGGTGCGAGTCCGACATAACCCGTCCTTGCCCCCGCGAGGCGGGTATGCGTAGGCATTTCCCCATGTAAAAAAAAAGGGGTGAAAATGCACTGCATTTAGCCTATAGACATCTACATCTATTGATGTAAATGTCTATAGGCCACAGCGTCCACTTACTACTCTCCTTAATTCTATATTTCAAAAATATGACTATCTTCAGGCGTGGTGGAATGTATGGCTGCGGGTCTGATTACCATCGCGCATCGTTCGGGCGGCCCACTGCTGGACATAATCCAAAACTCTCCGGTGAGGACCGGCTTCCTGGCGGCCGAGCCCGAGGAGTACGCGCGAGCAGTGCTGGAGGTGCTGGCTCTACCCACGGACGAGAGGAGGAAAATTGTTGAAGCCGCCAGGTACGTTAGAGTTTGAGGAGCTTTGGCGGCTTTTCTCAGTTTTGGACGTATAGATATGTTTTTACTATAAAATGTTTATTTTAGTCTGGCTTCGGAGGTGTCAACAGTGCAAAAGTGCAGTGCATGCATGCGCCTGTCCGTGTGTCCGTGTATCCGAGTGGCCTTGTGTCCGTATGTGCGTCCGTACATGCCGGCGTGCTAACGTGCGTATGTGCGTGTGCTAGCGTGCGTTCATGCGAGCGTGCATGCGTCCAAGCGAGCGTGCGTGCGTGTAAGCGTGCGTTCGTGCGTGCATGCATGCGTGCGAGCGTGCGTGCATGCGCGCGTGCCGGCGTGAGTCTATTTGTCTGTGTGTGTCTGTATGTATGTTTGCGGTATTATGCGTGTTTGTATGAGTGTAACATACATATACACATGTATGTTTGGCAATTTTCATTTTACTTTTACTTTATATTTATTGCATTCTCATTTTTGGCCCGTATAAATTGATTTATTATGGCATTAAGTCCGCCATTTTTAACTTAAGCATAAAAAGGTATTAAATATTAGTAAGTAATTAGATAAATAATATAATTTTCATACACTTTACTAGACGACTGAATATTTTTGATCTGACATTTTGCTGACATATTAAGAAGCGATGATAATACAATATCATGACTATGACGTAGTAGTTATTACGATCATCCCAGCTTATATTGTATCAGTTTTGTTTAAGATATTTATTTAAACCCTAATATTATTTTATATTATCTTATATTATTTATTGTTTCAGAGATTCGGTGGACCGTTTTTCAGAGATTGAGTTTGAAAAAGCATTCCTGAGGGCAGCGGAACCCCTCTTTAATATAAATTAACTTATCAAATCATCCGCTTGTTACTATTTATATTTGATAATCATCCACTAGATTAAGTGCAATGAGAACCGAATAAATTTTACCAAAGTTTAAAAGGCACTTTTTTTTACAAAGAAAAGTAGTCAGAGTCTCACAAGAATATTTCTTCCTGTACAGTTGTTAGTTCTTTGAGCTAAATGTATAAAGACATGTTTTCATGAGGCAAAAATTGCCGCACGACACGTATTTCTCAACATGTTGAGCAACAGCGCGCGTTTAGTTGTTACTTTTCGTTCCACATGTACACGAATTTTATACGTGGTAGAGCCATGCTGCATTATATTATAGTTGTGTCACATGTGTGGGAATGGGTTCGGCTCCATCGAAGAAGTACCAAGCTCTCACAGAATATCGGTGTAAAATAGGCAGCTCAATGCTGCTGTGTTTTGTATGGTGGTTGTAGAGAACCGGAAACTCTTTTTACTGGATACGAGGCATTCCATTTTAGTCATCCGTCCAACTATAGGCCTATTGCCATCACCTCCTTGTTCTCTAAAGTAAATCCATTATTAACAGCCAGCTCATGCAGTACCTTGAGGATCACCAGCTGATTAGTGACCGCCAGTGAGGTTTACGTCGCGATCGCTCGGCTGGTGATCTTCTGGTTTACCTAACTCATAAATGGACGGATGCAGTAGAGTCCAAGGGAAAGGCGTTGGCCGTTAGTTCGGACATCGCGAAGGCCTTCGATCGGGTTTGACATAAAGCGCTTCTTACGAAGCTTCCTTCTAATGGGCTTCCCGAGAAATTGTGCAATTGGATCACCAGTTTTCTTGCTGATCGGAGCATCAAGGTCGTAGTAGACGACGCATGCTCCGATTACAAGCCCATTAACGCTGGTGTTCCACAAGGCTGCGTGCTATCACTAACGTTGTTTCTTCTGCATATCAATGACATGATGCAAACCGGCCATGCCAATATTTCTCGGAAAAACGTTGCCGGGTACCGGGACAAACTTGTGTCTGAAGTCGAGACTTTGTTGAACAAAATCTCGGACAGGGGGCGACTAAATCTATAGTTCGTTCGCGTTAAGAAAATAGTGACTCATCGTTGTCCGCCGGCCTGGCCACGCCCCCCAGCCAATTAAAATGCAATTCAAATCAATTAGAAAGTCGAGTTCACAGTGACCAGTTGAAGTCAGGTCTTTGAACAAAACGGTTGTGTATTTTGCGTGTTACTCGTTCAACATTAAATTTTGAAAATGAAAACCTCACCTATTCGAAAGAATAAAAGTGGATCTATAATCCATAGCGGAGAGAGACGCGTAATTTACAATGTTTATAAGTACTTTAAACTGTGTGATTTAAATGCGACTGTGGAGAGCACAGTAATAAAAACAGCAAGTGCATGTGGTGTGTCCGAAAATACTGTTTATAAAATTATTAAAGAACAAAAGGAAAGGAAAATTATTAAGGAACACATTAAAATCACCCGTGAAAAAAAGAGTTCGACTATCGACGGTCGATAAATTACATGAACTAGACAAATGTGCAATAAGGAGAAAAGTTCACACAATATATTTAAATAACGACTACCCGATGGACAAAATTATGACACTTTGCGAAGCTGACGAAGATATTCCTGTTTTCAAACGTACCACACTTCATAAAATAATGCACGAGCTTGGTTTCGATTTCAATGAACCAGGATAGCAGAATTGAAGATAGAAAATTCTTTCATAATTAATGTAACTGGAGAATCTAGCGATACTGATTAGTGATTTAAGTAATTTTAAGAAAATTTGTTTCCATTTATTTAAACTTAATCAAATGTTTGAAAAAAAAAGAATTTTTACTCCACTGTATATACACCTTTACCCTGTAGTTGCACTGATGACTCACTATTTTCTTAACGCGAACGGACTATAGTCCAGTTTAATCCCCAGAAGACAGAAGTTTGCGCGTATACCGCTAAAAAGAACCCCTTCGTCGTATCTTCTCAGTTTCAAGGCACTCCCTTTGTTGCCTCAGCCAGTATCGGAATCCTCGGCGTCGAAATATCGAGTGACGTGCAATTTCGTGGTCACTTGAAAGAGAAGGCCAAATTGGCCTCTAAACAGCTCGGCGTGCTCAGCAGAGCGGGATAGTATTTCATACCGGCACACCGGAATACTGTTCCCGTCTCTGGACGGGGGCTCCCCAGTGCCAGCTCCTTACATTTGATCGCATCCAGCGCAGTGCAGTTCGAATCGTCGGCGACCGATCTCTTTCCGATCGGCTTGACTCACTGGCACTGTGAAGAGATGTTGCAACTCTTTCCGTATTTTATCGCATCTACCACGGGGAGTGCTCTGAGGAATTGTTCGGACTAATTCCAGCTGCACAGTTTCACCATCGCACATCGCGACAAAAGTCGCGATACCATCCATACCATCTGGATGACTGGCGGTCCACCACTGTGCGATTTAAAAGAAGTTTTCTTCCTTACACAACTTCCTTGTTTAATCAACTACCACCATATATTTTTCCGGACCGATACGACTTAGGGATCTACAAGAAAAGAGCCTATTCCTTTTTAAAAGGCCGGCAACGCATCTGCAATTCCCCTGGTGTTGCAGTTGCTCATGGGCGGCGGTAATCACTTACCATTATGTGAACCGTATGCTCGTTTGCCCCCTATTCTATTAAAAAAAAGTCCTCAGGGGTGACAAAGCATCTGCATTTTGATTCTTAGTAGAGAATAGATTTAGGTGTCTATGAGCCACAACATCTATTTACCATCGGGTGGACTATGTGCTCGTTTTGTCACCCGAAGCTCTCACAGAATGGGTGCGTTTGGCAGAAAAAAGCGCTAGCAAGCGCTTATAAGCGCTAAAATAGTTTTCGGCCAGGACACGATTGCTACTTCAGTAGCGCTGACACAATCCGCCATTTTGCTTATTTAATTTGTTTGTTTTGAAGTAGAGTTTATAAGTTGTTTTGTGCAATATTAGTTTTAAATAATATAATGACATGAATAAACATATACATGCTATTAAAAATTCATGATTGGTAAGTTTTTAATATGAATACTTTACAAACAAATATTTAAATTAGATTAGATTCCCCGGTTAAAACTAACATCGTGTCCTGGAGGAAAATAGCTACTTACGATTTGACAGCGCTTACTGCTTACTATCGCCATTTTGCTTAGAAGCGCTTGCTAGCGCTTTTTTCTGCCAAACGCACCCAATACCTGCATGATATATCAGCTTAATACTGCTGTGTTTCGTATGGTGTGTGTAGAGAACCGAAGACCCTATTTTTTTTTTAAAAAAGAGTATTAAAAATGCTATATACATTACTAATATTCCCCTTAACCACTCGTGGTAAGCTTAAATTGCTTGTGTCACGAGTGGTTCATGCCAGTAGTCGAATGGTGGATTCGAACCCACGGCCTTTTTGAGTTCGCGGTCCGCGCCCTGCCATTAGGCTACGGTCGCTTATAATATTGTGTTTACACAAAGAAGACGATGGCTGGCGGTAGAGAATGAGTGGCAGTGGCATAGGCCGTGCAACTGCGGCAATCCCTACATCAGTATATATACCATCATACAACAATATCTATAATCTACTCTATAAAGTACTGGGAAATACCCCGCAAATTTTAGTTAATTTAATTTCCATTTTGTTCGTTCGTATATACTATTTTTCGCTTTCGCAGGTTGCGCGGGATTGAACAATTTAAGTTGCCCGTGTAACTACACCCAACACAAGTCAATCAATCAATTCAGCTTACTGATCCACTGTACTACGTCAGTTACTCTATTAAAGAAATAAAGGTTGGGTTGTTTTTATAAATTATATTTTATTTATATAAAAAATATTTAAATCATAACATAGACACATATTTATACAGCTTAACATAAAACACAACATTAGTATCACTTAAATCTGATATAGGGAATGTTTATAATGTATTGTTTAAGTGGAGGCAGTGCCAACTCGGTCCCGTGGGATTAACCTCAACTCTGATCCGTGTTTCAAGAAAACATTACCTGAAAAACGAAAATCAGTTTTAAAGCATCTACATCATGGTAAATACAAATATTTACTAACAAATTTTGTTGTTTTGGTTGTTGAACAAAAAATTATTCTAGGGTGGCCCAAACATGGCGTATACTCGAACTTTTCATAGGAAACCACCTTTTTTGTCTAGGAGTCCATTTGGATTTGTACTTTTACGCGGTTTTTAAGGATTGTGTTGTTTCTTCGTAAAATGTTATTGAAACGCTATTGAAATTTAAAAAATCCTAATTTAAATAGAGAAAAAGGATGGGTGCTACTCTCCATAGCATGGTAGAGCCACGCCGCAGCTTTATTATGGTTTTAGTGCGAATGGGTCGGCTCGACGAGGGCAGGACCACGCTTTTGTATGGTGAGTGTAGAGAACCGGAGATATCTTTTACTGGAAACGTGGCATTCTATCTTAGTCCTCAGGGGACAACACATCTGCATTTTGAGACTTCATTGGGGATAAATGTAGATATCTATGAGCCACAGCATTCAGTTACCATCAGGTGGACTGTGTGCTCGATTATCACCCTTCTTATATTAAAAACATCTGCTTGAGATCCCATATTTGATCAAATTAAATCTAAACATACCACTGCAAGACTTCAAAATACTGTAAGCTCGTTCTGGGTAGATAAAGCTAAAGATTAATAATTAAAAGTTGAAGGTAGCCCTTCGTTAACTATGACATCAGGACATCAAACGACTCGTTCAAACCCCCGTGACCATAGGCGCTGTAAAGCGTCCTAAACGTCGAAATCTAAAAAGTAAAAATTAACCGCAGTTAAACTTTAAAATAAGTTTAATAAATAAATAAACATTTTCATTGTTCGATTTTCAGACACAATAGTAAGACAATAGCAACGAATAATATGTTAGTTACAACATAGGAAATGGATTCAATTTCCAATTCGAGGTGAAACAGACTTACTTCTAGATTTTTTATCAACTATCAATACGTCTCCCGGTCCACAATGACTGCACTCATCGGCCTCTTTGTTTAGTTATCATCCAAGCAAAATGACAAATATATAAACTTTCATGTAACTATACGAAGGTTGAATGGCGCAGTGGCTTAACATTGAGTTACGGCGGTGAGGACCGCGGATTCGAATCCCGCACGGAACAAGTATTTGTATGTCCTACAAATAATTGTTCCGTGCCTGGATGTTTGTCCTTGTGCACCTTATGTTTGTAAACTGCTTCGAGAAAATCCTAGTGGTTATGACTTTTTTAAAAGAAAATAAAAAGCAAAAAGGTGGAGTATCAAAAACAATTTGTCTTTTTGTCGTGACTTGTGTTGAATCAGACTAAAAACCTAATTTTACAGATTTTATCGCATATCTGACATATGCGGCGTGTAAATAAACTGAGAAGGGAGATGGGTTACAGCATCTTTCTGATATCATCAAAAACTATGTGATGGTAATTTTTTTTTATTATAAACTACAAGTCTTACCTGCGGTCTGCTGAGGGTTGATTCCGATACCATCGTCAGTGATGATGGCACTGGTGGCCGGCTCGACTCGGAACTCCTCCGCGGCGAACTTCAGTACCGCTGTGAATGGTGTTGCCTCGGGTACGCTGAGCCTACATGGGTAACAAATGTGGATATTTTAACATTTTTCGTTCATCAGACCGAAAAAGTCTACCGCTGGATATAGGCCTAAATTTTTTTTAGGGGAGAGGGTACAAACGAACATGCGGCCCACCTGATGAAAAGTGTGGATCGCCACCCACGAACAACTGCAACACCCTTGTGTTTGTGCAATTTTCCTGATGTTGCAGTTGTTCACAGGCGGCAGTGGACACCATCACACTTGTTTGCTCCTCTGTATAAAAAAAATTAAGAGTGGCAAGAACTTGATATTATTATAGACACTTATATGCTGAATGAAATATTCCACCAAACAGCAAAAGACTATAAAGAGAAAAAAAAAGTGTTGAGATATAATTACATAAGAAATCCAACAAAATATCAATAAATGAATTGTTGATTGTATTACTTTTCTAAAACAATCTTGATGATTTCTTATGTTTACGGAAGTACATGTAATGAAAATAGATTTCATGGATTTTACTGTTTTATAAAATTATTTTTCTTTTTTACTACCAAGTTTCAAGTACAGCACCCATGGTCAATATTACAGACAGACAATATATATTTATACAGGGTGTCCCAGAAGTCGACGTCAAGGCGAAACTTTCTGATAGGCGAGGCCATACTAGTTACCAGAAAAATATAAAAAAATCTAAGTCATGTATTTCAGAAATTATAGTAATTTTTATTTTTTTCGATAAAATGTACACCATGAGACAGTTTTTTCATTCCTGTTGCTACAAATATTTACTTTTTGCCAATTTTTTACGTCATCCTGAATAGTGCTTCTGTAACCTGTAATCCTAAACCCTGTGCCGATCACTCCAGCTTGAAAGAAAATGTAATTTTATACCGAACCTAGTTTTCAGAATTAGTTTTTCGCACTACTTCAACTGACCGTCCTGGAAAAAATTGTACTACGCCAGTTTGGCAAGTAGCTTTAAAAGTTAGCGCATTTAATAAGGATTCTAACGTGGTATAACACTTACTCCATTATTTCTTAGATCAGCCATAAAAAAAATTTTGTTAAACAAAGTCAGTTTTTAACAATTTTTTGGAACTTACATTAAAACGATTCTAGTGCAACCAAAGCCCAATTTGCTGGAGGATATGTGGATATGTGGTTCCAACAAGATGGTTGTCCAGCGCATTATAGCCGCTTAGTTCGAGAACACCTTAACGAGTAATATCTGGACAGATGGATAGGGCGGGCTGGTCCGATCTCGTGGCCCGTCCGCTCACCCGATTTAAATCCTCTAGATTTTTTTTACTGGGGAGCAGTGAAGGAAAAAGTATATTCCAAGCCGATTGAAAATGTAGAAGAGCTTAGACAGAGAATAGCGGAAGCAGTTGAATTTTGTAATAATGGAAGATTCGCCCGCCTGATTTCACGATCTTTTTAAGATGTCGGGCTTGTATTGCAGCTCAAGGACGGCAATTTGAACATCTTTTGTAAAATAAGTAATAAATTTTATCATAAAAACGAAACTGACTGTCTTAATTTTATAACCATTATTTTATTATTTTAGTTTGTATTTGCGTCTGTGTCTCATTAGCGTCACCATCTGTCTCGCTCACACTTTATGGAATGTCTCTCTCTCTCTATCTCCTTCAAACCACGCTGTGGTCATTAGGAACGCTTTGGTTGCACTAGAATCGTTTTAATGTAAGTTCCAAAAAATTGTTAAAAACCATTGAGCTATTATGTACTACGTACTAGAGGAGACACTGCATTCAGCTACTCTGTTCCACTCAACTGCGGTGCATGCACTGCACTTTAATCGGTCACTCGCTAGGCGCTTGTAGAGTTGTCACGTGTTGTGTTGATTTAAAAAAAACCTCTTGATAAAAATATGCCGTCTTGTGTACTTAGATATTGCACAAATAATTCAAGAAATGTCCGTAAAAACCAAGGAATTACTTTTCATCGGTTAATAAGATACTTATTCAATAAAAAAGTATTATAAATTAATAATAAAGCAAATTATTCCTAAGACGCCATCTCGTATCATTGAATATAGATTACGAAATTAATATGTTCAGATGCGACATTTCTGTGGGTACTTAAGTTTAGGACGAATATATTATTATACTACACATTTTTTTTTGTAGAAACATATAAGTTATTATAATTAAGCTAAATTTTTCATGTTTAAATCTGCTTATTATTCTTTTATTTTATTTTTAGGTTTCCACTTCAAAGTCAAAGTGGAATAAATTCGTCCATTTTTAACTCTCGCGTGCCCAGCATTTATGAACGATTATTTACAACATTTATGATTCTAATTTAAATAAATATATTTGTAATTTAAATTTTATGTTAATAAGTTTTGTTAAACATACATTTAGTACGTTTTTTTATATTTGACATAGATACCTTTTAAAATATTCAGATAACAATATCATCAAAATGTAATTCTGACATAATATTATGTAATATTATATTAAATTAGCACATATACAAAATAAAAAACATTTTAAAAAATTGTAAGTACTCGATATAATTAACAATACAATATAAATAAACAATTATTACATACTGACCATTCTACTTACGTATAATCTATAATAACAAAAACTGACCGCGCAAGCGCAAAGCGCGTTTATACCAACTGCGCATGCGCGACTCTGCTATTACCGCGCATGCGCGAAGACATAGAAGTAGCGCACAATTTTTGTTTGGAATAGCTTCTCTAGTACGTAGTACATTATAACTCAATGTTAAAAACTGACTTTGTTTAACAAAAAATTTTTTATGGCTGATCTAAGAAATAATGGAGTAAGTGTTATACCACGTTAGAATCCTTATTAAATGCGCTAACTTTTAAAGTTACTTGCCAAACTGGCGTAGTACAATTTTTTTCCAAGGCTGTCAGTTGAAATAGTGCGAAAAACTAATTCTGAAAACTTGGTTCGGTATTTATTTATTTGCTTTTTCAGGGAAACATACAGTACAATAAAAAAATACATTATAAAACATATAAAAGTAATCCTAAAACCAATGAAGTTTCCACAGACATCTAAAACATATTAAAAGCTTGCAACCAAAATATGTTTAAAGATTGAAAAAAAAAAATAACGAATAGAAAAAAAAAATAAAATAAAAGTAATACAATACACACAACCTGAAGAGCTGTGAAGCTACCAATTATAAATTAAGTTTTACAATATTTTTTATAACTATTATATTTAAGGTGAAAAATATCTAGTTCACAATATTTTAAGTTAAAATTTTTACATGTACGAGATACAAAATTATTAGAAGCATACTTCGTTTTTACTTTACGTAATGCAAAAACAGGCTTTTTTTCGTGCACCTAACCGGTGACACGCAAGATTCACTTTGCTTAAAAGTAGGGGTGAGTCGATGATATTATGTAGCAATTTGTACAACAACATTATGTTTTGTTGTGTTAAATTTATGTATTATTATATATTATACATATGTATAACTGTGTAAGCTATCAATAAAGGAGTCTACGGAAGAATCATATCGCTTTAAGTGACGCAGTAACTTATTATTGATTGTTTCAATCATTTTAACATAAACTTTGTATTGAGGATTCCAACATAAAGAGCAATATTCTAGAATAGATCGCACCAGAGTATTAAATAGTATAATTAATGTTGTAGAGTTTTTTAAATCTTTTGAGATACGCATCACAAAACCTATCATTTTATAAGCTCTTTGAGTTATTATATTAATATGTGATCTCAGTAACAACTTACTATCCAACTGAACACCAAGATCACACCGTTCATTTACTCTCTTTAGTAAATTATCGTCGAGCTTATAGTTAAGGAGGATTGGATTCTTTTTCCTAGTAAATGAGATAATATTACATTTCTTGATGTTCAAGTAAATATGATTTGCTTGGCAATATGAGCTAAGCCTACACAGATCCTCTTGAAGTAGATTGCAGTCTTCTATAGATTTAATAGATCTGAAAATTTTCATATCATGTGCAAAAAGGAGAATTTTGGAATTATGGAAGCAGGATATTACATCATTTATAAATATTATAAACAGTAGTGGACCAAGATGCGAACCCTGAGGAACACCTGAACAAACTGGGAGAAATGATGAACAGTGTCCTTTTATTGCAACTGCCTGACTACGATTTCTAAGATAAGAAGATATCCATCGAAGTAAATCACCATGTACACCGATTTCATCTAATTTGTGTATCAGAATACTATGTGAAATTTCGTCAAATGCTTTTGTATAATCGGTGTACACTGCATCTACCTGCAGTCCACTATCCATTGCAATATAGAGGTGATCAAGAAACTCGCAAAGATTACTTTCGACCTATAAAACCATGTTGTTCAGGAATTATAATTGGTCGAGCTATTTGGGAGAGTGTGTCAAATAATTTTCTCAAATAGTTTTGGAATCGAGCTTAATTTTGAAATTGGACGGTAATTTGAAATATCGTGATTATTACCACCTTTAAATATGGGAGTTATGAACGATTTTTTCCATTCTAAAGGCATTTCACCCAACTTCATGGAAGTTCTAACAAAATTACTAATGGTTTAGCTAATTGACGGTAACATCTATGTAAAAACAAGGGTGGAATGCCATCAGGTCCTGGTCCCTTACTGACATCTAAGCGTTTTAAATACATTGAAACTTGAGAACATTATGTCAGGAAGATCATTACATTTTCGTTTTGATTTTACAAAAGACCAAAAGAATTTACTATTAATACTAATCTTATATTTAACATTATTGATAAACTTGTTATAACAGTCGTCCTCCATTAATTTTTGTCTCTCTCTTACTATGGCAAAAGACTTGTAATTACTGTTTATATACCTTCCACTTGCGATGAAATTTTAATTTTTCATTTACAATTTTAATCAATGCGCTATTATACCAAATCGGGTACTTAGTGTTAAATTTAATAGTTTTAGTAGGTACTTACGTGTTTTTCTATTATATTATTTAAAATGTTATAAAAATTCGACACAGACATCGATATTACCGTCACTCAAATTAGATTCCTGGTCTATTTGCGAAAGATTTATATTTATTTCCTCATAATCGGCATCTTTATATAACTTGACTGTGTGTTGCACTGTGACTTGCATCGTGTATGTCGTTCAAATGAAATAGAAACACGAATCACGTCAGCAGCTGAATCCATTGACGGGATGCATTCAACGTTAGAGACCTTTAGCTTACGTCTCATTGCAATCAGAACTCCTCCACCCATTGTATCACCTCTGACTTTGTAGTTACGATCGCTTCTATATACGTAATACCGTGCGTCAAATAGTTCTAAGTCGAATATACCCGAATGTAACCAAGTTTCAGTGAAACAGATTATATCGTACTCATGGCATAAGACATTTCTGAAAAGCAAGTCAGTCTTAGTACATGGACCCCTTACGTTTTGATAGTAAATTTTTAAATTAGAACCGATTTTTATACAGATGTAAATATATATATATATATATATATATATATATATGTCGTAGGTACATACTTTAGAAAGAAGTGTATAAACAAAAATGTATTTAAATGATGTAGTAACTATATAAATTAAATAGTATAAAATTAAAACTATCACCGAATGTGTCAAGGTCTCGTGCACAATGAAAATAAGCCTATCATACATTACGTTTAAAACGAAAAAGAGAACAACCATAAAAATAAAAATAAGTTTGGCATATATAACATTTAAAACAAATTGGACAACTACCAACAGTAATGCAAATAACATATCATAAGCCATAATAATTCCTATTTTATTTTGAATAAATCCGTCATATTATTTATGTGTAAAATAGGACTAGATTCAGATTTTCTAACCATAATACTACAGTTTTTAACCCATACAAATCTATAGTTACTATCCTTAGCCTTAATTTTCACCTGGCGCAATAAAGATTTATTTAAACTGGTCAAGTGGTCGTTGAAAAATATCGAAGATTAAGTACCAGGAAAACCAAGATCACATGCTTTTAAGCTTTTAAGTATCTTTGCCTTACACCGAAAGTCATCTTTATTATACCTCGATATAAATCGCACTATAATTGGTTTAGGTTTTTTGGAGTCCTTGGTAGATGGTTATAAAATCTTGACAACATGGGTTATAAAATCAATATCCGATTTGGTAAAAGAAAAATTAACGTGCTTCGATATATTCTCAATAATTTCGATATTGGAACGCCGTGCCCATTGGTCTCTAACATTATTTTCATGCTCCAACTTTTCCAGTGAAGTTTTTAGTATACCTATGTCATTACTCAAGCTATTTACCGACGTTAGACTTTTATCATATATTTCAAATTTTTCTTTCATCTCATCGTACTTATTATTAATGAAAGTTAAGGACATTTTTATTTCCTGTACCTCGTCCTTAATGCTTTTAAGCTCGGAGTTTATAAAGTTCTTAAACCTAAATTCAAGATCTCTTTTTAGCCCTGAAATCTCTTGCCTTATAAAACCCCATAGGTCGCAAGAAGAGTCGGCGAAGTAGTGGGGGACTTATTCTTCGAATGTTTATTTCCGAATGTAACATTAAGACTGTCGGTGTCACATTGCTTATGCGCTGGAATGCGGACAGATGTACTATCCTTTTTAACTGTTTTAGGTTGTTTTGACAAACACGCTGGGCAGGTCCAATCTGACCCATTGCGAAGTGTTGGGTCTTTTTTAGATGATGCAGACACACATTGCTGATGGTAGTAGCCCCTACAACTAATACATATTATAGGCACATCAGTATTTGCTACAGCAACACGACAGCAAGCATACAACAAAGCCATTTTGATTTACTATTTAAATTTTAATTTAAATTTTTTTTATAAGCAAATATTGCAAAAATTGCACTGGAAACCCCTTACGTTCTGCCCGAGAGTCCAATATCTGTGACAGTGATCGTTGACCTTGTCAATGACATACAGCGGTCGCACAAATAAACAAAATAAACAGGAGCTTAAACACTAACACAAATTTTAGCAATGTTTATGTATTATAACTCACAATTAATATAACACTATTCAATTTATTATGACAGTAGCAATGTCCACATTAGACATCTATACAAATAAATAGTAAAAGTACACTTATGTTGGCAAAAACACAGACTAAACTGAGAGGAAATATTATAATACGTGGTGCTCGCTTAGGCGTCGCAACTGAACTGGAAAATTACATTTTCTTTCAAGCTGGAGTGATCTATAAAATTACATTTTCTTTCAAGCTGGGGTGATCGGCACAGGGTCTTTTTTATCTTTATTAATATAAAATACACGCATTTAAAATAATAATAAACATCGCCAAACTGTGCAACAGTATGTTTTAGGATTACAGGTTACAGAAGCACTATTCAGGATGACGTAAGATAAAAAAAATTGGCAAAAAGTAAATATTTATAGCAACAGGAATGAAAAAACTGTCTCATAGTGTATATTTTATCGAAAAAATAAATAAAAATTACTATAATTTCTGAAATACATGACTTAGATTTTTTTTATATTTTTCTGGTAACTAGTATGGCCTCGCCTATCAGAAAGTTTCGGCTTGACATCTACTTCTGGTACACCCGATATGTAAATATTTATAGATATAATAGTCTGAAAATTATATAACTAAAGTTTCAATTGAATTATCACAAACAACATAAAACTTTGTATAAGTAGTTTAATAAATATCAAATGTACAGAAAAAAGTAATTCAATTTATTATAGTAATTTCAGTTTGCAGTCTATCTTATTACATAATAATTATAAGTAACCTCTCTAGAATAATTAATTCATCTGAAAAATCAATTGCCATCCTCATGTTAATGTAATTACTTTTTAATTACAGTATAATTAAAAATTACAATAGAATATTATTCCAAAAAGCTAATTCAGACTCATTTTCCATTACTAATTCTAGAAATTCCATTTTCATATGTTCATTTTTAGAAATTTTTAATAAAACCGATTTAAGTTCAGAGTATGTTAAATCTATATAAAAATATTTAGCTGACATGTTTTCTTTTAATAATCTACCACAATCTAACAAGGCTTTGGAGAGTAACTGAAATATGTTATTATGTTGAATACACAAGTCTATTAAAAAGGTTTCTTGTCTGAACAAGTATTTCCAAAAATGTTTATATCTTATATCTTTCGATTGCATTATTTCAGTAAAAACATCAACAATGCATTTCACAACAACAGCGTATTTCAATTGTTGGTCAAGTAAGCAACGAACTAATAATTCTATAGTGTTTTCATTGCTTTCGCTTAACATATCCTTTATAATTGGTTTACAATCATTACAGCTTTTTAATTCTGATAATATCAATTCTATTTTAAACTTTAACAAGGCATCTTTAGGAAACTCTTGCGGTAAGTTTTTTAAAAGTGTCTCTTTGGATGCTGCTTCCAGAAAAAAATCTGCCAAATAACCTTCTAACTTCTCCTCCGAAAATAATTCTACAAACACTTTAAAACCCACATCCATTTGACTAATTTTCGATGGTGAGTTAATAATTTTTTTCAAAATGTATTTTGGGGGGTCCTCTAAGCATTTTTTCAGGAGTACATTTGATATACCGCTATCACTCAATGTCGACACAAACTCATTAATAATGGATCGTTCGTGCAGCTTATCTAAGCATTTCACAACATGCTGTGACATTAAAAATGCATTTCTTAGCTCATTTTCACTTGTGTCATTATTTGGCCAATTGTCTATTTGACATAAGTGTAGAAAATCATGTAAAAAGTCCAAAAATTGTCTGACGACGACAGTTTCCATACTGTTTAATAAGTTGACATAACTTCAACGTAGAAGCTTCAGTGAGGTCATCAGCATCAGCATCTGTTAAAACAAATATGATTCAACTGTTGATAGCTTTCCTATTAATTGACATTTCTTATATTCACTGGCTACGTTGATGTTACCTCAACAAGTAAATAATGCTATAGTTTTTAAAACTCATGAAAAGCACTTACACTTTGAAAGGGAGTTTTGGGTCTGAAGTCAAGGTAATCTTGAACGTTACTTTCGACCTAAAAATACAATGTTCTGTATTAAAAGTATATGTATTTATTACGGACAGTTTGCAATGAATAATTTTTCTAACTTACATGATATTTTTCTTTTATAATATTTTAAAGAACTTCAATTGTTTCTAAAGTTAAGTGTGACGTATACACACGTTGGTGACACTGAGCTAGTACATATTTATTTATCAGGGTTGCCGTTCTTCAAATGTTAAAGTCCCTAGACTAACAGAAAAAATCCGCCAGAAACAGGATTTTTCTTTTTCTTAAAATCCGCTAGATGTCCATAGGTATATTTTCATGCTACCATTGGGCTAACTGAAAAATCCTGCCAAATGGTATACAGTGAATACCGAAAATATAAATCTATAAATTCAAAAAAAACTTAAAAAGAGCGGACTATTTCATATAAATCAGTTATTTATAGTGTATGTTAATGAATGACAACCAAAACAAAAATTATTCATGTACAAAATAATACAATATTGTAAAACAATAAATATTTAAACCACGTTTAAATATCAGTCATCTTATTAAAAATAAAACAATTAGCTCAGTACGTTCTTGCACCTAAATTTCAAAATTAATAGTGAAGTATGGATCCAGATCTTCCAAAAGAACTTCAGCGGAAGTTGAAGCTTCGCCAATGTCTCCAGTTTCCATCTTTGGTTTGCCTTTACCGACTTGGTTTTTTTTATCCTTAACTGATTTCTAATCAGAAGAATGGAATCTAAAAGTTTTTTCTGATAGCTTGTTTCGCAGTTTGCTTTTAACTACATTCATATCACCAAATACGCGTTCAAATTCTGCATTTGAATGCGGTAGTGATAATATTATTATTGCAAAATTACATAAATCTTCGAATATGTTTACTTCTGTTGCATTTTTGAATGTCGAAACAGATGAAAGTGAATTAACGACATTGATTTGTTAGTTTATGATTGGGAATTTCCACGAAATTATATTATATGTACAGTGTTACCAACGGTAGATTCCAAAATTGGACATAAAATAAATGACATTTGAAATGAATTACTTTATGGATAAATCGCCATCTCAAAGATCCAAATGTCGCTAGAAGTCGCTAAATAATTATTTCTCGCTAAAACGATTTTTTTATCCGCTAAATATTGTTAAAATTCGCTAGATCTAGCGAGAAAGTCGCTAAAACGGCAACACTGTTATTTATCTATGACACTGACACCCATAGACATCTTTTTTATTAATTGGCTTTATAAATCCGGGCTCTAGCCCTTCTGAGTCCCCATAGACATAATATGGCTGATACCACAAAGTACATTGTAACCATACTTTATGGTTATAGAGGTTAGAAAACAGGTGAACGATCGCTATAAAAATCATACGTGCTAAAAGCATAGCCATCTAAAGCTAAAGCTCTATAAAGCTATTCCCCGAAAATTTGTAGAATTTATAGCCACGCTGCCGTCAGTAAGTAGTATCTGCGAAGTATTTTTTTAATTATTGGCAAAAAGAAACATTAAGAAATGGTGAAATAATATAAAAATAAAAATAATAATAAATGATTAATAATTTATATTTGTAATAATTAAAATTATAAAAATCATAATTTATTTGTTAATAAATAATAATAATTTCGTTATTTTCTTCTTTTCTTTCAATGATATTATAATCATTTCAAACTAGCGCACAACAGCCCGCTTTTACTAAGACAACTTAGCGATCGCAGCGTCTCACTTATTTTGTTCATATTACTTAGACACTATTTTTACAGCGATCGTTCTCCTGTTCTCTTACCTCCATGATTGTAACCGACACTTAAGTTAAGCTTCAGTTCCAAAAATATTTATAAAAATTGTTGTTTTGTTTTATTTAATAAATACTTTGTTTTATTTAATAAATACATAATATAATATCAATTATAATATTATATCTTTGGTTCAGTTCACACTTGACAGCTAATAGCAAATACACTTCTTAGTATGTAGACCTTTTGTTTGCCAGCATAGGTGAAGTATGTTTGTGATAAAAACGCTGCGCGGCCCCCTACATTGGGTAAATTAAGTGAGATTGTCACTCGCGTGCTCGAGCTCACGCGCGCCTTAAGTTAACAAAAAATTTTGTTTTCTTATAAGTATTTAGCCACTTTTGATACTTCTCTTTGAGATTTTATTCAAGTATGGCCACTCAAAAAGCCAAAAAGTACTGCATAGCATACGGTGCATAACAATATGAATGTTGTCGACTTTTCATTCTTTACTTTCAAAGAATATCGAAAGGTACCTATATAATACCTAGTTACTGACGCCTTAGTTTTTATAATTTGATTAGCGACCTTACTACAGCTTCGTTTCTATTTTCGTTTTCGATTTTTTCGTGTATAATATCAATAACCTTAAAAATCATTCAGCGTAAGTAAATCTCCCAGTGCTGAGTGTGAGATCAGCATATATTGTTTATTAGTATACTGGATGACCTTTTTTACCCTCAGGAAAAAGTCCGGTGTAACATGTGAACGGAATAGAAGCCTATGGCATTGATATTTTACAAAAAATAAAATCAAAACTTTTGAATTAAGAATAAAGAATAAAAAGTAGTAAGGTAGTAGTAGTAGGTAATACCTTTTTAATAGATTATGAGTGAGTGTTGAGTTTGAGTGAGTCCACCTAATGGTAAGAGGAAGCTTTGGCTCATAGATATCTACATTTTCGATTAAGAATAAAAATGCAGATGCGTCGTTACCCTTGAGGATTACGATGGAATGTCTCATTTTCAGTAAAAAATGGTTTCCAGTTCTCTACACTCACCACACGAAACACAACAGCCTTTAGCTGCTATTTTAGTTTGGTATTCGTGCTACAACTAATATAGCTGCAGCGTGGCTCTAACACGTAAAACCTATAACCTTTAATCATACCTTACATTGAACAATAATCTTCTTTTAAATAAAACTAGTTTTTACGGATTTTTTTGTCTGTGGTCGACGTATTCTGTTGGCTTCCTTTTTACTGGTGGGAGGAAGAAGCGCGTATTTTTAAATTAAAATTTCAAAAGTCTAATTTTAGCTTCAACTTCTGAAAGAAATTTAACTTATTTTTATACGAAATAAATGGAAATACCGTCTGTTAGTGACGGCATCAATAAAGGCATGGATCACGACGCGGGCGGGAAAAGAAAACCGACAAAATTAAGTCAAGACCTGCAGCGGGAAAATGATGATTTTTATGAGCCATATAACAAATTAAATTATTAGAGTTTTCCAGAGTCAATGCGAATGGCTGAATACACGGTTTTTATTGAGAGTCGTAAAGAAGGAGTTAAATTAGGCAATGCGAATCCCTCAATGTTGGCGGGAATTTTCAAAAATGAAATCAAAGGAGTCATTAATATAAGAAGAATAAACGCTTCTAAAGTAGGGGTGGTATTTGCGCAAGCGATTAACGCCAACGACTTTTTGAAAAATGAAAACTTCCTAGAGAAGTATGATTACAAGGCATTTATACCAGCAAGAGCAGTGGAAACAATCAGAGTACTCTGGTATGTTCCCATTAGCATCAGTAATGAAGAGCTATTTAAAAAACTATCATCGATATATGAGGTCGTTGCAGTGCGTCGTTTCACAAAAAAAATGGTTGTCTGTAAAGTCGGTTTACGGACGATAGTTTAACGCACAGTTCCCTAAACTTTTTTGTGTCGTAGACCCCTTGCCATGTTTTTCCGTGTTGGGTAGACCCCCTACTTACCTGATATTGATTTCCTGTAAATTTCTAACTGTATTGAAGTTTAGTGTTAAAAACTTAAAGTAAAAACACATGTTAATTTATACATTTATTAATTGAATTTAAATTAAAACTACTCAAAATAAAATTTTGTATCTGTTATGTAAAATATACGTAGCATTAAATAAACATAAAATAAACTATAAATAAAATAGCATAAGCAATAAGTTAATATTTTTAGTGAGAAGGATGAACCTGATGCTTTAATAATAAATTATCAACATTTGGCGTCAATATTGTAAGGGTTAATCTTAAATCTCCTCGGCTAATGATGTCCAGTCTGTTTCTTTTTTTCCTTAGGAGATTGATAACAGCGAACGGAATGGAAGCCTATGGCATTGATATTTTACAAAAAATAAAATCAAAACTTTTGAATTAAGAATAGAGAACTTTCCAAGAATCCTTTCCACTAGGTATGACGATGGAAAGGAAATTAAAAATTTCCTCGCTATATTCCATAATACGGGATAAGTAACGGGTATGTTGTTTTGCAGCCAATTGCTGATATCCGTTTATAAACTAAACCTTAAGTTCTTCGTTTGTACTTAGTTCAGTGAGTTCCTCTTGTATTATGACATTAGTTTCTTCTATGTCAACATATGGATTAATTAACATGAAAATAAGAAGGGAGGCGGAATTATAATTTACGTACGAAACCACTTAAAATTTACCACAATTCAATGTAATACTAAAACGTTTGAAAGTCTTTCGGGCATAATAAAACTTAGTTCGTCACTAAATATAGTTGTGTGTGCAGTTTATAGACCACCATCTACAAATAAAAATCTGTTTATAAGTGAAATAACGTGAAAAAATTTCTGTCCTATATTTCGACCCTATCATTTTCTGATGTATATGAGACTGAAGATACTAATTTGGCTTTCAACTGCTTTCACGACACTCTTACCCTGTTTTATAATTTGTGTTTCCCTAAAATTATCGTAAAAGTAACAAATAAATCTATTAAAAGTAAGTGGATTACACGGGGTATTAAAAAATGTAGCATTAATAAAAGACGTTTGTATTTGAAATATCGTCTTTCGACAGCAAACAAAAAGAGAAATTGGAATATATATTACAAATATACAAACATTTTAAGAAAATGCATTATGCAAGCCCAAAAACTGGACAATACACGCTACCTACTTAATTCTAACAACAAAAGTAAGGCAGCTTGGCGAATAATAAAAAACGTTAATAGTGATATGTCAGTTATGAATGACATTACTACAATAACCTCTAATGGCAAAACATATTATCACCCAGATAAAATAGCGGAAGTGTTTAACAATTACTTTATAAATTTAAATAATTACATTAAAACACCAAATAAAATAATAACCAATAACGACTATGCGTCTAAATTGACATTTTATCCCAATTCTATATATCTAGTTCCAATACATAACACTGACATTATAAAAATTATTAATTCTTTAAAAAATACAAATTCTACAGGTTATGATGATATTAGTACTAAAATCTTAAAACAATGCTCCAAATATTTGTCTTTCCCACTAACTTACATTATCAATTTATCTTTTGTTCAAGGCATTTTCCCAACTAGACTAAAATTTTCTGTCGTTAAACCACTACACAAGAAAGGCGATAAAACTGACATAAACAATTATAGGCCCATAACACTGATATCTGTTCTATCAAAAGTGTTTGAAAAGGCCATACATACCAGAATCTATAACTTCTTTAACAAACATGAAATATTAAAACCAGAGCAATATGGGTTTACAAAAAAAGTCAACCACTTTAGCATGTTTCAACTTAATAAAACTAATAACAACTAGCCTAAACAACAAAACACCTATAACATCCATTTTCATTGATATGTCCAAGGCATTTGACTTCGTTGACCACGAATTATTGTTACACAAACTTAGCAGATATGGTGTAAGAGGCAATGCATTAAAATTAATACAAGATTATTTAAGTCAGCGAAGGCAATGCGTTGAGGTATCAAGTTACTCAGGACGCAATAGAAAAAACTATAGATCACAGTATTTCGAAAATAAATGCGGAGTGCCACAAGGAAGTATACTGGGTCCTTTATTATTTATAATATATATCAACGATCTTTGTAACGTAACTACTCATAAATGTGTGCTATATGCTGATGACATTACCATTAATATTGAAAATAATAATAAATATTTTGACTACGAACATGAAATAAATAGGACCTTAGAAACAATAATAGATTGGTTAAGACATAATAATTTACAAATTAACATCGAAAAAACTAAGATGATAAGATTTCAGACATATAATAGTAAACAAGAACCACTTAAAATAGAATATGGGAAAAACATAATCGAAGAAGTTAACCATACTAACTTTTTAGGTGTAACAATAGACAAGTTCTGTAATTGGAAGACACATATTGATAGCCTATGTAAAAAGTTAGATAAATTTGTCTTTGTTTTATATCGGTTAAGACGAGTGGCTAATATGGAGGCTGCACTCTTTGCCTATCATGGATATGTTTCTTCGATCCTACGTTACGGCTTAATAATATGGGGTAATTCTGTTGATTTAATTAGAGCTTTTCGTGGACAGAAAAAATGTGTACGGTCTTTATGCGGAGCACACCAATTAGATAGTTGTATTCCTCTTTTTCGCAAACATAAAATATTGCCGCTTCCAGCATTATACATTTACGAAATCTGTATCTTTGTTCACAAAAATAGTAATTTATTTGAAAAACACAATGATGTTGTAATTAGGACTAGTAGAAATATACATAAATTGTGTGTACCAAAGCAAAGAATACAACTCTACTCAAAAAATGTATATTGTATGGCAATATATGTTTACAACAAATTGCCTGTTTGTTTCAAAGAGATGAAAATAGGAATCTTTAAAAGTAAATTGTTTCAATTTCTTTTAAATAAGTGTTATTACTCAGTAAATGACTTCTTAAAAGATAAATTTGACTCGAATAGTGTTTATTGAATTGCTGAATTTAATTTTTTGAAATGTTTTAACTAAAGTATTATGAATTAATTGATG